TCGTACATTCCAATCTGTCTTCCCGCCGAAGATAACAAAGGGCTCGTCCCGTCTCGTGGAGGTGCATGTAGAAGGAAGGAGGAATTCTTCTGAGGTCTTCGCTTCAGAGTGCTGTGCAGATCCGGACGCCTTGGCTCTACTGCCTTGGGCTGTTCAGCAGCTTTCCGCTTCAGTGCATGCTCGGCTCACATCCTTGGATACGAGAACCAGCCCCTTTTGGACCTGGCTCACGTCCGTTATGTGAACACATGCCGAGAGCTCAAACACTTCTCAAACACAACTACTTACTAAACTGTCATGTGAATAATATGGATCACATCACAAATGATACGTCACTGATTGGGCCATGTCATGTGATACCTAGCTGTGGGAGGCCGGAATGAGAGGTTCCTAGTTGTCGGTCACCGCTAAGTTCTAACACTAAAGTTCGCTAGGTAGATTCGCTACTGTCCAATTGTTTAAATTTTGTTGTTTCTAGCGGAGTAAAGTCTAAGTCATAGGTACCGCACTCTAGTTCGGAAAATGATGTTTTGTTAAACAAATCGAAGCGGTTACTGTTAGGTAGGTAGTCGTACTCGAACACAGTTATAATTAACAAGTTAACATCAACTAAAGTTTAATTGGTAAATATAAACACACTTTAACTTTGAGCGTGTGTTTTAGACCTCATTATAACCGGCATTAGTGCAATAATTCGTACTGTGGTTTGATATTTGAAACGGGATGAAGTTTAGATTTTTAACTGCTAACACTATAAAAGTAATCTTTCGCACTACACTGACTACAGTATGTGTCGCACTACAATCCAGGTAGCGTACTCTATTATATTCAGTGCGACACAATATCCTATCTTATTTCCAAGTTCAGGTCAGATCCTATCCTTCTTTTGGATCATAAACTCATCAAGTGATTCGTCAGGCCGGTTCACGTTACTTATTTCGAAGTGATCTTGTGGACGCGATTCGTCGGTCACGTTATGTATTTCGATCCACTGATCATAATTCCTTCGGGTCAGTTCAATCCACGTATACAGTATGTGATCCACTGCAGAGTCGTAAGCAGCATATGATCCTAATTCCTATCACAAATGAAGTTATGTAAAATATAAGGTGGCAAAGATTTTTCTAAGAAAGCGTAGCTAGATTTAACTCTCCCGCAAATAAATTATAAGGCGGCAAATATTATGCTAAGAAAGCGTAGATTTAACTCTCCCGCAAATAAATTATAAGGTGGCGAATATTTTGCTAAGAAAGCGTAGATTTAACTCTCGCGCAAACAAATTATAAGGTGGCGAATATTTTGCTAAGAAAGCGTAGATTTAACTCTCGCGCAAATAAATTATAAAGAGGCGAATATTTTGCTAAGAATGCGAAGATTTCATTCTCGCGTAAACAAACTAAAAAGGAGCGTGCAGCGCGCGTCTGACCGTTTGGCAAATATTTTGCTAAGAATGCGCATTTTCCTAACGTAAAATTCGCCTCCTTATGAAATATTTGCATCATCACGCGCAGCCTGGCAAATACATCATAACACGGCGCATATTTTGCTAAGATGGCAAATATTTCGTTAGCGCGGCAATTATTTGCGTAACATGGCAATGTTGCAACCCGGGAGGGGGCTTGGTAAGTGACCTCTATTTGGAGCACCTGTGAAGAGTTCACTTTCACTGTCAATGCTGGACGATTGGTATAGCCTACATACTTTACCCTTCAACAAAGCAAGGTCAATGATACTCCCACCATTATGGGAGACGAATGTATTGGTGTTCGGAGTGATGCATGTCAGATTATGCTGAGCGATGAATGAATCCAGCTGTCTTCCACGGTCGGTTGTGATGATATCTCCCCAGGAGATGTGCCTACTGTTGAAGTCACCAATTATTATTACATCTTTGATTTTGAACTTGGAGCAGTATTGGAGAGCTTTTGTGATGTTGGTAAGTGCTGAGCTCAGGTTGTTTGTAGAAGTTAGGGAGTGGTTTACATATACATTACCAATCATTACTACCGTTGAATTGTACCTAACAGTGACCCAGAGTGCATCAGTGGTTGTATCTTGAAGTTCACTGATTTGTTGTGGGACAAGCCTGGGGGAAACACTGGTGGACACTCCTCTGCTATTGTTTACCGAAAATGTATCCAGATTATGAAAGGTATTTAAGTGGGGTCTGGAGTTATCCAGTAGAGTTTCTTGTAGAGCCACAATGTCATTTTTGAACTTAAAGTTGAATCTATCAATTGCTGTAATAGACCTGTTTGATAGCCCACTGACATTTATTTGACAGATATGAAGACTTCCGTTGTTTTTAGTAATCATGGTGGTTACTTTGTTTAATCAGATTCATTTTTTCTATGAAATGTGGGCATTGGTTTGAGAAGGCTGTATGATTTCCTCTGCAGTTGCGGCAGCAGTAATTTGATGGATGGGTTCTCTCCGGGCATTCTTTATCAGTGTGGTTTTCTGAGGAACAGAATCCACATGCTGCTTTGCTGCGGCACCATTTCACAGGGTGTCCAAATCTTTTGCAGCCATGACATTGCATTGGTTTTTTGGTGAACTTGAATTGAGCAACTTCTAGCCATAAGTGTTCAAGACCGAATCCCTTGCTTATTGCTTGTGTAAGATCCTCATGTGACTTAAAGATGACTTTAACAGAGTTTGATGATTTGCCCAAGCGAGTTACGTGAGTGCTATTCAAATTGGCATTATTAAGTCCATCAGAGACAGAGCCCATATCAATGTTTATGGGGACATGCCTTATGATGCCTACATGCTTTGTCAGATGCTGGTCAGTCATTCTGAATATCGCTGTGCCCATTTTTGCGCTGGTGTCTTTAAAATAGTGGGATTGCCATCCATTTAGTACTTGTTTGATATCATCCTCAGAGTTTAGTTGAAGAATGATGTTGCCATATCTTGTCTTTTTAATGTACTTTATCTTCATTTGCTTAAACAGTTTGTTAAACTCTGATTTAAGTGAGGTATCATTTGACACCACCTTTTTGTTTGTGACTTGCTTTATGATAACAGACATCTTGGGATCAACTAAATAGTCGGTTCCCACTGCACTAGCTGATTTTTTTGTTAACTCTTTGACTGGGGGTTCTATGAAAGTGTTGGTGCTCAAATGAGAGTGAGGTGGTCTTGCCTTTTCAGAATATGATGCAGGTGGTTTGTATACATTTTCTGCAGACATTGTAAAGGGCTTGCTCTGAGCTGGATTATGGGATAGAGTTATGGCGGAGATTAACGTTTTTACATCTTCTTTTAGTGCAGCTCTTAGTTCCATTGTGATGGAGTCTTTGAGTTGCTGAATATTGGTAATCTCATGTTCAGATTGCTGTGACTTCGTATCTTGGTAGTCAGGGAGTGAAAATTGGGAGATATCAAAATCTCCTTCAAGGGAACTTGAGGTAGTATCATTCACCAGTTTATCTTTTTTCTCAACAGCATCTATGAATTTCTCCTGAGTATGTAGAGATATCTTTTCCAGGATATCATCAAAGGAAATAGAGTTGCAGCCATTGCAAAACCATTTGTTGTTCTGGGAGATTCCAAGTGCTGTGAAATTTGTGTGGCTCAGGGTACGCATCTTTTGTTTGTGAGCTGTTACTTGTTTCACCTTGTAACAGGTGTAATGAACTGAAAGTTTGCATAGATAGCATGTAAGAAGCTGATCAGCGCTAACATCTTGGTTACAGATTGTACATGAGCCACCAGTATCATTGATACCCTCCTCAGCTCTAGATTCAATTCTGTAGTCAAAATTGTTGTTAAATGTTATGTTGGGAGGTGTGAATGCATCCCCATCTTCTTGATCCGTCTCGTTGATGTCAGGTGTACTGCCTTCAAGTACAAGTGAGCTAGATGATGTTGATGATAGAGTGCTCCTTTCACTTGATTCCATCCTGTATCTTTGTGGAGGTTCTTTCGATTCTGGTTCAACAGAGTTATTTTTGCCAGACTCTAGCATATCATGCTTAGGTGTTAAGCTTTGAGGTTTGAGTCTTAGCAGATTCAACTTTTTCAGTGACGAAGCTAGTTGTAAGTTTAGTTTTGTAGGTGTAGTCCTCCTTTGGGAAGGAGCTAGTGGACAAACAGATCAAAGGTTCTCTAAAGGTAAAACCAAATAGTGCCACCTTATCCTCAGCACCGTGACTGCTACGAAAGGATTGCTTTCCATATAATCTGCGTCTTAGATCCTGATCAGTATCTTGATTAGTAGGACTGATACCATGGTCAGAAAGGACACTTAACATCTGTGGTCTGATCAGTTCTATCCACTCCAGTTCAGCAATTTCGTTGCTTTGAGGGTCTTTGAAGTAAGTTAGCTGAGAAAGTAGTTTGACCCTTTCAGCAGGAGAGAGATATGTTGCATCAGACTTCAGTTCTGCTGGTAGTAACAATTTATAGGTATTCTCATCGAAAGATAAAAGGGTACATAACATTTGCCCACTGGCATTAAAGCAGCAGATAGTGTCAGAGGTTATTTCAGAATCCGAAGAACCAGAGCCACTAAGATTTTTAGCAGCTCCTAAAATACCTGTGACACTTTCAGTACAAGATGCACCACTTCCAGTACTATCTGCCTCCATTGCAAAGTAACTTTGGACAGCTTTCAGCAGGTTGGTGTCTAGTTGTCGTAGCATTCCAGCAGCAACTATTGTTGGGGTCTTAGCTTTTTCTGGGGGGTAGAGGAAGTGTTAGCATTATTGACGTTTTGTTTTGGAATTGTTTCAACCATGATGAAGTTATTTAGGTATGTAGTACCAAAAACGAAGGCTGGAACACGTCTGGAACAGGTTTGTTTCTATCAAAAAATCAAACTTAATCACCAACCGGAAAGGTTCAGAACTTGTGGGTCTGACTCCCTTAATAGATTTGTGAAGAGGGGAAGGAGAAGCAGGACTTCTCGGGTCTGGAGAGGAGAAGCAGGACTTCTCGGGTCTGTGCTATGTCACTATGTCACTTGTCACGTTATCGTTCAACATTACACATACCTCAAATTATTTGTTATATAGTAGTGTTGAAAGTATTAAAACTCTGCTCTAAGTACTAAAACAGGCTCTAGTAGTCTGTCTGACATTAATAGAAGAAAGAGGAACATTGTGGGTACAAGGGTTGATATACACAATTGGTGAGATTCTGTACTATGCTCTTCCTTGCTGGGTCATGGCTAAGGCAGTGGTGCCATCTTAGGGAAGCACCAAATCATTGTTTGAATGTGGGATGATTTTGACACACTTTTTAAGAGATTTCACCGGCATATCCTCTAAAATCACCTGATTTGTCCAATTTTTTGTTTCTACTTTAAGAGGGGAGGGGGCCCAACAGGCTAGGGGGCGCTTTTTAGCGGGCAGGGGGCACATTATACCACAGGGGGAGGGGTGCCAACGGGGGTGCTTTTTTAGCGGGGGTTGCCAACATGCAACGTCAGGCAGGAAAGGGGGGACCCCAACCCATGTATCTGAGACACTACACAGCAAGTAGACCAAAGTCTTGTAGGAGATGCATCAACTACCCACCGAATCGGTGGGTTGGGAGTCCAGGGGGAATTATTTTGTAAAAAAATCTAGGAAACCTCAAAGCTTGTCTTCTGAGGAATGAGGTTGAAGGATACGTTTTGTAGTTCAAGATTCTGGGCTGTTGGTCTTCCTCAGTGTTATGACTAGACTCCTCCCAGTGCAATAGGTGTGCATTGTAGTGACCTGATCCGGCGCTCTTTTCAAGCTTCCTGAACAGAAGTGATAAATGAATTCAATGAAACTAATAAATCAACTACGCCTCACGTAGTACACGAAGGCCCATGGTTAAGTGAAAGCAATAAACTAGCACGCTAGGTAAGCTTCGTAGCTGGCAGCTGGTAGTACAGTAGATCAAACCTGAATCGTGTTCTGAAATGATTTTTGGCCCGACTTTTAGATTTTTTCAGCTATCAGCTCAAAGATACGATATACAAACACAGAGTTACTGGGCGGCACTCAGCCTGTCATTCTGCCGAATCTCTATTCAGCGTTTATGAACATTATAGCCTGGGGTCCCCAGGTAAATACAGCGCAGATTTACCATTTCACATTACATTTACCAAGTGTGTCTGTTCCTATACAATGCGCAGCGATTTTTTCGAGATTTGATTCTGCATATACACGTGAGAGAAGCAAGCAATATACTAACAATATAAATAGATTATCAATTTTTTTTTAAATCAAATGTTTCAAACAGTATACACATAATGTCACAATGCAAATGACCCTATATAAAAATAACCCTTCAAAAACTCAATATTTTAAAAATCACCCTTGGCCTTGCGGCTCCAAGTTCAAATCTAAACTGTCTATATTGAGAAAGTTCTTTCTCGCCCCTCTGTAGAAATAGATTATCAATAGACTTGCAATCACTAGCAAGCTAGATAAAGCGTAGATTATCGGTCATATACCTCCAGACCAGTTATTTATTAAAATTACCTTCATAAATTATTTGTGATGATCGAGATTTTATTTGTTATTACTATATTATGTATCATTATGTTTTGATTTTATTTAACAAAGGACATGCAAATGAAAATAAAGACGTGTGATTAATTAAATGTAAAAGCTATCCATTGACAAAACTTTGCATAGCCATGAGTCGCGCGCTACTTAACTGCAAGCGAAAGGGCTATGGTCATGGTTAGAGCAGGATGATGATTTATCACTCTACACTCAACTGTCACGTGACTTTTTGAACCCGTTCTCTAGCGCAGCTGGTCCTGAACGACTATTCGAAACCCTAACCCTCTAATCTGATCCCAACCCTTCACCTAACCATGTGCTTTCGCGCTGCACTGCGGGCGCGCTTGTTTCACCGTGAGGCGGACGCGCGCTACTTGCTACTGCACGCGCAGGGGCTCTGGATAGAGCAATCCCAACCCTTACACAATCCTTAACAAAAGCATGATATTCTGAAACCCTAACCCTTCACATAGCCATTTGTAGCGCGATGCACTACTGGGTCGCGCCGCGCATCAAATAATTCTTCTCGCAACCACTTCGGTAGATCGGTGAGATGCACCACTGTGCCTCACCGAGCTGCGAAGGATTGACATCGTGAATCAACATAGCCATGTGTATACGCGTACTGCGTGACGCGGTCGCGCGCTACTGCAAGCGAGAGGGCTTTGTATCACGTTGCGACCCCCACGGTCGTTTCACTTTATCGTGCGCGGCGGGTCATACAACGTATGACAAAGAGGGCTCTGGTTAAAGCAACGTCCAAGTCAACAAGTCCAAATCGGCGCGCTCGCTAGGCTCGTTTTGGTAGGTTATAAATTTACATAAATCGTTTGATCCCGGTGCCGCGCAGTTTCAATCGGTTTATTAACAAAAAAGCCCAATATCTTCATGTCAGATCATGTACAAAGTAATTTTAAACACTTGAGTGTTAAGGCATTACCTAAGCTTTTTAATTTTATTCCGCGCTTCATATGACAGATAATACTTTTCTAAATTCAAATGGCGCGCACTGCTTTATTGTTTATTCTGCAAAATGCCATGTTGATGTGAAGTGCATGTAGTAGTGTGCACACGCTGCAACCCCTTTTCTGTCTGTCTGTTTAACGGGTGATACTCGCAAAATATCTGTTCCGTATATTATATATATATAATATGGACCGTCGACGAGTCCAACTCGGCGCGCGTCTTGGTAGGTTGTAAACCTACAACGCTAAAAGGGGATTGGGCGCAAACAGGGGGGCGTTTTTTTGGCGGGGGCGCCAACAGGCAACGTTGCGTGAGGGGCATTCAAAATTAAATTGCGGTCTCTTTGAACTGAGCGAATTCATGCATCGTTTTAACTACGAAAATGTTATTCGTGTTTTCGAATATAATCTAGGCGGGTTTATTGTTTATACAATTATATTTTTGCATTTCTGATTTCAACTGCGATAGTGAAGTCTGGCCGTAGTCTTTATATAATCCTTGAAGGTGACTAGGGCCGGGTGTTGATCGTACAGTGTGGTTATACTTATATATGCAAATATTTAACTTTGATCAATTATGGTTATACCATATAAGTATATAACCAATATGTTGGTTTCAAACGTATATTAATATAAGGTGTAGGTTTAATCAAAACAGTTCACTGGCATCATGTGCTATCATTGCCGATTATTTTACACTTACAAGGCCTACCTAGATTGATCTTATGCTCACAAACCCAACCAAAATATATATATCAGGGAATATTTTCGACGATAATATCTGCAATCTGATATCGTATTTCTGAAATTCTTCAGTCCCGACTTATTCCATTTTTAGATCTCGATCATTTTTTGTTCTCTAGAATTCTCTAAGTTCAGCTTTAATCCATGGACATTTAAAAGTTTTGTGAGTGTGTTGAGCACAGTAAGAATTCAAAAAATTTGTGAAGTATTCTTTAAATTTAAATTGTTCTAGAATTAAGCGAGAGCCCACCAATACAATCCCAAATAGGAATAAATTATTATTGGATTATTCAATAATCCAAGTGCAATTGGAATATTGCTATTTTTTCATTTTAGGCCTTTTAGTTTATCCCTGAATCTCTCCATCTACTGAAGATTCTCAATTATGAAACTTTCAGTTCCATTTGCAGCTAATGTTATATTAATGGTTTCAATTTATTTCCAATTATTTGACCCATATTTTTTAGTCGAACAATTTTTTAAAAATAACGATATCAATCTCCTTTTTAAATTGAAAGTAATTCTATACGGGCCTATCATTGGTTATATGAGATGGGACTTCTCCATGAATTATAATATCAACTTACCTTAACCTCATTACTGATACAATATTTATCATACACGGGCAAAGTGGTAAGCAAATCGAATTAAACCCTTCTTATCTTATGACTTTTAAAAGCTTATTTCCAAACCTCTTGCGTTTGCTTCTACTAACTACTTCTAGTTTTACATTTACGCTGCCCTTGTCAATTTGTTCACTGATTTCTACCGGAAATATTGTTAAATTCAAGGTATGATGGAGGTGGATGGAATGACGATTCTAGGCTATGTTTTGGCCGTGATGGGCTCAGTGGCGTTTATACCACAGATTCAGACTATATTGAAATCTAAAAGTGGGGAGGGCTTGGATCTTGTCATGTTCTCTATAGCTGACTTCGTGACGGCTCTTGTGACTTCTCTTTGTATTAAATCAGGTATTTTAATCTACTGAAGACGATGAACAAATGTTTTTTAAAGCCTCTATTACTGAATCGTATTAATTATTTGTTTCAAGAACCCCTCCAGAATGTTTATGAATTTACGTTACTAATATCACTGCGTCTAAATTATCTGGACCAATACATTAATTTCTCGATCACTCCAAATATCTTACAAACTATTCCATCTCAGGACTAGACATCAGCAACTGGGCGGAAGTGATAGTAACGAACATCCAAGTGTTCACAATCCACGCTCTAGCCCGCTACTACCTAAACCAACCGAAACAGCTGTCCCTCCTTTTCGGAGCAAAGCTTCTGTACATCGCCGTCCTAACAGTAGCACCCCTCTCCTGGATTAAGATTGTGATGAACTGCCTGCTACCAGTGGTGCTATTTGAACGAGGAGGTGCTGTGTACAAGCACTACAAGAATAAGTCAACAGGGCAGCTGTCTGGGGCTACTCTTTTTCTGCAGTGGGCTCAGATCTCCGGCAGGATCTTCACATCGGTCATGTCAGGGGCTGAAACTGATTTCATTGCTCCAATGGTGCTGCAATGCTTCTTTGGGACCATTATTCTCGGACAGTGGTTGTTGTACAGATCAGCGAAAGATGAAAAGACAGAGTAAGGCCAAGTTGGGGACTTTTATTTAATGTGAAACTTGGTGAAAATTGGGTTGATACAATTTACAAAATTGAGACGATTCATGTTTTTCTCACAGTATATTTATAAGTTATTATTGTAAAACATAAAACTCGAAAAAGATACAAAACTAAAAAACGTGCAAACTAAGTGTTAATCTTCTTTATAAAATTGTTCAGAAGTCAAAACAGAACGGGCCGGGAAATATAAATTAGCTTAACGTGCACAAAAAACGTGCACCCATTCTACTGAAAACAACATCATAAAAAAGCTCGTCTGAACTCTGATATCAGTTTTCTGCGCCTACATTATTAAAACTGTGACTTGATAGGGGTAACTTTGAACATCTTGCAAGATCCACTGGGAGGCAGTGTTGCGGTTATCCCATCTGTGTAGACTCCCAGATCCCTGAAATTAGTTTTGAATGTTACACGTAAATCTGTTTTTTATTACTCACTGAACATATCGAAATATCTTTCGAAAATGGAATGACTGATCGGGATTTCAATAGTTCTTGTAAAATTGTTAGTGTGATATTTCTCATCAAAGAATACCGATCCTGCACTGTGAAAGACAGAGAATGTTAAAGAACTCACAAGTGTGTGAAGAGATCCCTAACATGAGCGGTCTTGGTTTTTATCAGGAGTTGTTTGAAGGTAGCAGTGTAAGGTTTGGGTAGACCGCTGCTGTCTCGTCGGTACATTACAACCGCGTAGCTTCCGTCAGCTAGTTCACGGCTCTGTAACATTAGTTATTGATTCGAGAACTGGAAAAAGTTGTCGGTGTTTTAGAGCAGAGATTTTACATCATATCGGCCATTCGAGAACCAATTGCTTGGTTTCAATGTGTTAATACACTATACAATATTGAATATACTGTGAAGATAAGGTTAGATATTCTTACCCAGTATTCGTGTTTCTTCTTTGCATCCTGATACACCCGTACACCTTGTTTTCCCATCGGATCCTGAAAGATAAAACGTACACATAGTATCGGGATGCATTGATGTATAACATTAAAATGTATATACAATCAGCTGTATGGCTGTATTGAATCCACACAAGTTATTTCATGCAGCAAGGAGTAAGGACGTGAGCCAGTTAATTAATTCTGTGGTATAGTTCGATCGATTCGATCGATCGAATCGAACGCACGCGCGGTCATTATAGACCACATGGCATGTATCAATTTATCGTTTGGTGATCGCGCGCGCGGTAAAACGACTTGAGTCACATGATGGTTGCCAATTCAACACCTAAATGTGTTCCTACTGTTACGACAAAGGTCACCAGAGTCAAATTACGGCGATAAAGAACTCGGGACCTAAGACTTGAGGTAGCGAAACGTAAGATAATTTCTACACCGGTGCAAGCAGTGCAGAATAATAATCTAATCTACAAACCTGTCGTGAAGGACATAAATTCGATTTTAAAATGTGAATGTGGATAGAATTATTGATAAACTTTAAGCACAAACGGAGTTATAGAAACCTGATCTACGGCGATAACTTCCTGGTTCATGAGAATATCTTTCTGCCACTGCCGCAAGGTTCTCAAATCGTTGCTCATGTAGAGGGGCGCCGCCATCATAGCCCACATCGCCATCTGAACACAAATAGAATATACAGAAGGGGAAATGAGGATAAAACTAACATCGTCCTTAACTATAACGGCCTTATTACTTAATTACAGTAAACAAATTAATTACAGTAAAAGAATATGAAGATGAAAACAAACTGTTCGACCGTCTTTATTCAGATATATTTTGACACAGTTAATGCGATTGTAGGGCCAAGTCAGCACTGAAATACCCGCTCACAGAGTTACTGAAATACCCGCTCACAGAGTTACTGAAATACCCGCTCACAGAGCAGCTGAGTCAGTAATGAAATACCCGAAATAGCTGAGTACCTGAGTTTCACTCTGTTCAAAAGACAAGCCGTAATCTCCGATGATTAGCATGTCGGGGTCGTTCCAGTTTCCTGGTCCAGCATACGAAGCAAGGTTACCGGCATTGTCACCAAACCTGAGGTAATTCACTGTGTGCTTTTTAAATCTCTGTGCTAAATCATCAAATTGAAAATTGAAATAATCTCCATTCATTAAAATTGATAGTTTGAACGCGCACATCATTTTTATATCTATAAATTATTCAAGAAGTGTGAGATAATTTCATGAATGAATATAATAAATTTAATAATAAATTGATTTATCTATCCAGACCAAGTATATGTATGTTATTATATTACATAAGTTAAGCCATGCATCATGATTCATGCTATCTCAATTATCACTCAATTACCACTCAATTACCACTCAATTACCACTCAATTACCACTCAATTATCACTCAATTATCACTCAATTATCACTCAATTACCACTCAATAATACGTTCAACACTGGCCCAGGAGTCTTGTACATCCTCCGTGTTCCTCCACAGGTTACAGGTTTCTGCAATCTCAGCGTATGGTATCTTGTCAGTTTCACGATACTCATAGAGCGGCCATTCGCACGAGTAGAGAACGGGGCGCCCGGTCGCATTCAGCGCAGCGCCAACAGCGGGGAACCCTGAAATATGCATCATGCAGTGGCGCAGTACTCATAGTTACCAGTTTATGATGTTTTGTACGGAGTTCCAGGAGTCCTGAATGTCAGCGTAGTTCCTCCATAAGTTGCAGTTTTCAGCGATATCACCGTACGGTACGTTGGGTTTGTCGTGAAGGTAAGCGGGCCAGCTGCAGCTGTACAGGATAGGACGCCCAGTATCGTTCAGCGCTTTAGTGACCGCTGGGTAACCTGCCGCAGACAAAACAGCTTGTGTTACAAATTACAGCATGCTACAATCAACAGTTTACACTGGACATTTAACTTGGGATCTATTTGAACTAAGTCCAAAAGGGTATGTACTATGTTGGGTGTTTAGCTTATTATTTTTAAGCTATATCTTAATTTCAACATGAACTTTAGAATCAATCACTTGACTATAACCATGGACTATAGACCATTGTCCATTAAACATATTAATATTACATATGTATGTATGTATGTATATAATAAATATATCGACTGTAAACATTGACAACAAAGCCTCACATGAAACTGCCCACAATACACCACACGACACGACGGTTCATCAGATTATTGGCATATCACATGATACCTTTCCAATTATATGGATCAAAGACCATTGATAACGAGAACTAAGTGAACTGTAACCAGTCATAAAATGAGAACCTAATTAGCAGGATTTAGTAAATTAGCTTCCGCATTAGATACTGGAAAATTCAGATCATGAATTCAAAGGCACAGTAGTTTAATCACATGACCTACAATTCGTCACATTATTCACATATCACAGATATTTTCCAATTAAATGGATCAAAGACTATTGATCAATAAGTGAACCATAGCCAGTCATAAAATGAGAACTTCATCAGCATTATGAAGACGATAAGCTTCAACATCAAATATCAAATACTGGAATATCCTGATAATTATTTTGAACAGATAAACGTACCTGTTGAAAACTCTGAAGCGTTGCAATAACAACCATCTAGTTTCAGAGAATCAATCCCCCAACTAGCAAACAAGTTAACGTCGTCCTCTATGTGATCCTGGGACGGAGATTAGTTAATTGTTTAGTAATTTGTCAAAGGATTCGATATTTTGACGTGTGTTTTTTAAGATATTCATACTTTTACATCAATTGTAATACATTGGTTTGGTAAATAATTGATACTGTAATTTGTTGTTAAACACCGAACAGCGCACCGTTAAGTGAAATTTAATAATCGATATACTACATTCTCTGCCGCTTTAGCAATTGAAATGGTCAGGAGGAACACATTCGCAAATTTGACATGGTATTATAAAACCATAATAATCGATATGGATCACCTCCCGCCGCCATAACCAAACTGTAAAAGTAAAACGCAATTTTTAGGCTAGTTCTGAATCAGCAAATAATATCATAATACCAATTTGAATACAGTCATCATAAACTACATATTATACAAATAAAGGGGGCGAAACCAGTTGCTGTAAACAAAAGTTATCAACATTCATTACTCAAACTATATATTACAGATAGATAAATTTAGCTAAAGTTATGATCGCTATTCTGTACAACTAAATAAATATCACTTAAAATAAACTTCTTCTAAATAAATATCAAGATTTTTACACTTCCTGCTAAACTAATACCCAGCCAGCAAAATAATAATACGCAGTTTCCTATGAAGCCTCAAGCATATGACGTCATGAAATTACATAGCTATATCATCGTCATCATCCTCCAAGTCTAGATTCTTGTTGATGGCCCAGGTACAGAACTCATCAAACAAGATCGTACCCCCACCGTTAGTATCAATCTTCCTAAACTCTCCCTCGACATCAGCTATCGGCCCAACCCACACCTCAATCATGCTCTGAGATTTCTTGAATTCTTCTACACTGATTCTGCGATCACCATCCTCGTCTGTACGACAGAAAGCCACCCAGTATTCAAAGTACTGGCGCAGGGAGAGCAGGAAGAACTTGAACTCTCGTAGCTCAATGAACTCATCCCCGGAGTCCTTGTTCGATTTGGTGCTGTTTTTAGCGATCTGGAACGCTCTCATAATGGCCGGTTTAGCGTTGAAAATCTGGTCCACTTTTAGGATGTCCCTGACAGCTTTGTCGACCTCAGCAAGGGAGAGGATGCCGTTTCCGTTGTCGAAATCTTGAAACATCTTCTTGCGCCGTGCTTTGGAGGCGGGGTCGCTTCCAGTGGGGAGTTTGGCGTTGATTGCCGTCCAGTCAATTTCGGAAGACATAATATTTAACCTGTTAGAGTTTATGTTCAAATCTCATTTTAAATCGTAACAATTACACAAATAATGCACAGATAAAACATGAAAACAACTACGTGAATCAGAGACAACGTATACGTGTGGTGGGTGCAGATTCGCACTATTGACCTAATACTGCACTTTATCGCATCACCATAAAAACAAAAGCGTTTCCAGTAAATCAAAGCAACCAATAACTACATACTAACTGCTACTAAATTAAGAATCTTAGCTCAACAAACTTAGAACAATCATAGTCAACATAGAAATACAGTTTCAGTAACTCAGGAAATGAACTGTCTACCAGATCAATGGCGGATCTCATGACAAAGGAGAGAGCACACGGATGACACGAATGACAAAACAAAGAGGACACGGCAGGATCATGCCATATAACATCATATCCAGGAGAATCTCACAGTGCTTCGGACTCAGACAAAAGGCAGAAGGGTGGGAACAAAGATCATTACCAAGGTGGACTTTACAGGTAGCCGAGGACAAGGCTAACGAATTCCGACTCCGAGTAGAATCAGTAGCAGGATTACAGCTTACATATGAACGTTGGCAAGAGCAAGGTTGTGCACTGAATATGGAGGATCGATCTTGCGACTCCGGTACAAAGTGGATAGGAATACAGTTATACTAGAGCCTTGGTGATTTCAACATTTCGTGGGATTTCTCACGTGCTACTTCCTCCTGTTAACAGAACCATTAACAAGTCACGTGGTTTAGTTGCAGTGTTTAAAGTGAGAGCCACCATTTTGTAGGCCCAGATAGATCTAAATACTAGTGGCCGGGTGGCGAGGTGTTTCTTCCGACACGTGAGAGAAAATAACCAATGAGCTCCTAGCATTGAACCAGTCGAAACACAAAATCATCGTCACGTGTTAAAACAGGTATGACTCACCTCCCCAGTCCTCACTAGTATAGGTACTGAGTATAGGTACTAAGTATAGGTACTAAGTATAGGTACTAAGTATAGGTACTAAGTATAGGTACTGAGTATAGGTACTGAGTATAGGTACTAAGTATAGGTACTAAGTATAGGTACTGAGTATAGGTACTAAGTATAATAGGTACTAAGTATAGGTACTAAGTATAGGTACTAAGTATAGGTACTAAGTATAGGTACTAAGTATAGGTACTAAGTATAGGTACTAAGTATAGGTACTAAGTATAGGTACTGAGTATAGGTACTGAGTATAGGTACTAAGTATAGGTACTAAGTATAGGTACTAAGTATAGGTACTAAGTATAGGTACTGAGTATAGGTACTGAGTATAGATACTAAGTATAGGTACTAAGTATAGGTATTAAGTATAGGTACTAAGTATAGGTACTAAGTATAGGTACTGAGTATAGGTACTGAGTATAGATACTAAGTATAGGTATTAAGTATAGGTATTAAGTATAGGTACTAAGTATGGGTACTGAGTAAAGGTACTAAGCTAAATAGCCTAGATTACCTAAAATGTGGCTTTTGTTCATTAGTTGAATGTGCGAGGGGGTGGATGAAAGATCTTATTTTGCTCTCACTCTTTTGAGCAATAAGAGAGATTGGTTATTAACAATAAAATAAATAACAATTTAAGCAACAGTAACACTAAGTATTCGTAGCAACAGTTGCGTAGCACCAGCCCAACAGTTGAAGATACAACAAAGGAGTACAAGTCTTGAAACTGCAAAATACGGGGAGACAATAAAGATAATATTAAATAAATTCGCATTTGAATAAATGTCAAATAATGTTATGGTGAGGATAGTTGGTCACAATTGTTGATTATACCATTTACAGTGATTCAAAGTGAGTTATTCCTATTGACTTTGCTGCGTTACGCGTACGCTATCCTCATTGGATGATACTAAAAGTTTGCAAATGGTTGGTGCACACTTACATACTACAAGAGCTTAAAAAATTGAAGATAGCTAATAGTATTGTCTAATAATCTTTAGTCATCACCTCTAATTTAAAATAAATCAATAAACTCGAGATGCAATGAGTACATTTTAAAAAATGGATGGCTTATATTAAAGTATCTAAATATCTAAATAGACAATCTTCTAAATTAGAAATGTTTCCGATAAACAACTCTTCAGCATTATATTTGTATTACTTTATTCAGAAAACTGACAGTTTTAGCGATATAAACACTTAAAATTAACGAATATCGACAGTAGTCTAACCGTAAGAGCCCTCAGTCACATGTAAATGTACTCGATACTAAAAAATGTGCATGAATTTTGAAAATCAATTTTCAGCAGAGTAACAAGTGATATTATATAATGAACGAATGGTATGTTGTGTTGGAGGATTGTCAATAGAGTTCCACAGATTATGACCGCAAGTTAGAGCTCCTGTGAACTAGGGAGGAAGATAAAGTGTAAGCTAACTAATTAAAGATATGCTAGCTAACCAGTGACAGATTTGTTAATTTCCCAGATGATATCAGAGAGGGCAAACTGCAATACCAACAAGTCTATAAATACTCTCCAATATGCTCCGGGCTCTGAATCTAACAAGTCCCAAACACTCAAAAAGATCCAACAGCCATAAGACAAAGCGTAATTGAGGTTGCTCTCACTGCTACTGCAAATGGTCTAATACACTTGCACTGTACCATTATGTGTCAGAATGCGGGGTGCTTTAACAAAGTGAGAAGTGGTACAATAACTTGGAAGTGGGCTGGTAGAAGCTGCCAATAGGATATTGGAATTGTACCACGTGTGCAAGTAGAATTGTACCACGTGTGCAAGTAGAATTGTACCACGTGTGCAAGTAGAATTGTACCACGTGTGCAAGTAGAATTGTACCACGTGTGCAAGTAGAATTGTACCACGTGTACAAGTAGAATTGTACCACGTGTGCAAGTAGAATTGTACCACGCGTGCAAGTAGAATTGTACCACGTGTGCAAGTAGAATTGTACCACGTGTGCAAGTAGAATTGTACCACGTGTGCAAGTAGAATTGTACCACGTGTGCAAGTAGAATTGTACCACGTGTGCAAGTAGAATTGTACCACGTGTGCAAGTAGAATTGTACCACGTGTGCAAGTAGAATTGTACCACGTGACGAGGTAAATCGCGGTATATTTTCAAGTAATGGTAATTTGGTTATTATCGGGGTGAAACAGTACGGGCAGACTACAAGGAAGCATTTTTCATCAATTTAGTAATTTCCAAGTAATCCACTTAGTCCAATCCGTTGACAATTACCACAATTTAGAATTTTGTAAAAGTGTGGTAATACCATGTTCTACGAATTTGTAATAGCCTATCTAAAGATAATTTTTCAGGTCAATCAAGTATACAAGAAGTGATTTCATGTTTGTCATAGCAAGAAATTACAGTAAGTTCCAACCTTAGTACCAGGGTAGCCACCGCAAGTCTTGGTTCCGTAGTCCTCGTATATTCCTATCTTCAGTCCCATGCTATGTATTGCATCAGCTAGCGCCTGGTGTTACATCATTATACATTGACTATTGTAGGGACATAAACATTTATATCCTGTGTGGCTATGATAAATTAATACTGAGAATAAATAATGGCAATATTCCAGGAATAAATGCATCAGAAAGTGCAATGAACGACATTTAAAAAAACATGTCAAGGTTTCAAAGTTTGCATTATACTAACAGGTATTCCCTCGGGGAAAAGTTCAGGGTTAGATACAAGCTTTCCATCTGCTCCCCTGTCCCTCAACATCCAACAATCATCAATATTAATGTACTCGTAGCCAACATCTGCATATCCCTCGTATTTCATTAACTTTGCTGAGAATAAATATATTAACTACGCTACTACAGTCACAAACTTCAGTTTATCAACCAAATGTCGGTATAATGGTGAAACGTGATTTTAAACTTAAAGACAGCTATTGATAAGTTATATCATAATAACATGAAGCCAGGGAGAGAACATTGTCCTCCCCCTCTCCCCCTCTCCGGGCCTCTCCCTCGCAGCACTCACCCATTTCCAGGAACAAGTCCGCACTAATGCAGTTGTAGGGATCATTCTTACAATCTGTGTTACATCTGTACCTCTCCCAATTCAACCTGAAACAACAAATATTATAACAACTATGAACAGAAAGGGATGATTGTTTAATAGTTTAAAACTCTGTTAATTATCTTGTTTTACCAGCAATTGAAATATATTTTATCGCAATCCTGCACATTGAGGCCATGTAAAAATAATTACAATACTAGTTTCTTGGTTTATCAGAGGTTATTTTGGGACAGGTTTACGAATTTATCGAAAATCCCGTTACCTAAACAAATGAAATGAAAAATGTTGAGGGATCTGGCAAACTCCTGGTAAATAGGATATTTTATCTGTTATCAATAAACTTATTATTAATTAATTATCAATAAACTTACCATCCCATTGGAGGTGTCCTGGCCAATCCATTGTCAAGTGCAGTGGATATGTGTAGGGTACCAAGTAGCAACAATCCTAACAATATCATCGTGATCCTATGTAAATAATATATTTATACAGTGGTGTTACGTAGCTTCAATTGGAAATCTAGTTTGGGATAGGGGTGGATTGTAAATACTTTCTTGATATGAACATTTTAACAGAGTTAGTTAAAGCTGGGAAAAAAATATAAGCATTATAAGTATTTCCTACTAAATTATATGATTCCATGATTTTATAACTGGGAGACATATCTTTTTAGTGGATTATTTGTAAGTTAGGTTATGTTTTAACAGTTCTTGATATGATGATGATGATGATGAAAATCTAAATATCATAGGCTACAATGAGCATTTTAGTAACAAATAGTATGAAAGATCTGAAAATTTTAAAAAATAAAATCCCTAAAAATATTTACACCCCAAGTTAAAAATTTAAATACTTTATTTTAAAAACACTATATCAAATAAGGTGGTTGATCAGTCACTTGTGTCATTACGACGACGTCGTTATATCAAGTCAAAATATTCCCCAAAATAAGTTAAAGACGATTCCCGATCGAGAACGTTTTGGTAGAAAAAGTTTCTCAAGTTACATAAATATCATTGGAAATGCAATTTTATGGATAAAATCAATAAAGCTTACAAGTAAATCCCAAAACAAAGTAACACACCCAACAATGGTTGAGATGTGATACATCCAAGCAGTCTAAGTCCACAATAATATCATGAGCTAATCTAAAAGTAGCTCCAATGTTCATGTAACCAGACAGGTTCTACCAATCCAAAGAGTTAAGTAGGTTTCCATTCAGTCAGTAGTAAACAGTGTCTAGCACTGGTCGTCCTAAGAGGGACTCCCCATTTATTACAGGCCTGGATAAGGCCGCGTACATACCAATGGATAGAGCATTGGCCGTCTAATATAGGGACTAGACTTGATAAGACAGCACATTTCCTGCCATTATGTTACTTTAAGATGCTGCAACAAATAGATCCGTTTCCCAACTTATGAGTAAGTCACTCTGATGATTTTGTGATCAGAACAAATGAGTTTGGAAATGAGTCACAAAAAATAGAGTGTTCTAAAAATTGAACAATAAAACTGATTTGACGACTACTGGACAACAGTAAAGTAGGAGTAATATTTGCTTAACCAACAGCCCTGCGGACCCTACTGTCAGTGGCGTAATGAAGGGCCCTGCCAACCCCCGCTGTTGGGGGGGCGCAATCTTAGGGGGCGCCAAATCGTCGTTTGAATGTGGGACAATTTGGAAAAACTTAACTATGGTACTAGCAAAACTGTGTGTTTTCATGCTCTAGAAACACACTTTTTATAAGATTTTACCGGCGTATCCTCTAAAATCATCTAATTTGGTCAATTTTAGGGAGGGGCGCTAAAAGGGGGGGGGGGGGCACCAACAGGGGGGGCACTTTTTCAGCAGGAGGGGGGGGGGGCCAACAGGCAACGTTACGCCACTGCCTACTGTGATACTAAATCGTTGACAAAATTTTAGTAGAACAAAGATTTTTAGTATAAATGTGGGACAATTTTTGCAAAACTTACTAAGTACTAAATAGCATTACTTGAAAGTCAGCACACCCCGGCGAATGCCGCGGGCTTCTTGTTGCTACGCGTGTCGCAGAAATTTTTGGACAGAAATTCGTCAGAAGATTGGTTGTCATTTCAGCTACGAACCTTTTGGGGATATAAGAGAACTACAGTTCCTTTCCTTAAATGATTTGCAATAGTGGCAATGAAAAATAAAACATCAAATTCTGTCATCCGAACATAAGTGGAGGTCCTAATGAAATCAAATCAAGGCTTCAAATCGCGTACAATCATTAACACTAAAGAAGTATTGTCAATTGTGATTCCTGATCACAGCAAAGTATATAATGTTGTATGCAAGCTATAATTAGGAGAAAACATCATGATAGCATAATATTACAGCTTTACAATAATAAATATAAGTATAATATCAAAATTTAACTATTACTCACAGTTAATATAAAGACTAGCTTAGCAAACTTAAAACTGGCGGATCTTGAAACTAATCCGCAGCTTCTTTTTTAATGCAACAAAAACATTGAACAGTTATATACATCAAACAGTAATTCGAATCTTTAAAAGAGATCTCACACTATTAGTCATTACATATTATGACTATATAAATACCACACAAGATCGTACACATCAACAGCCTGACTAGCTCGAGCGCCTAATTTCCTAGGCCGAAACCAGAGATGACTGGTTCGATGCCAGCCGTTGACCGTCTAAATTTTTTTTGAAAAAGTCGCTGTTTAAGAGGGTCCAGTAGCTCATTTTCTCCCCACATAACTTATATTGACTGTTGAGTCTCAACTAGATCTATCGTATTTTCCAGGCTTCAAAGAGTATAGTTGTTTCGTGTCCCAATTAATTCTAACTCTTCGATTTTAATATCAGCGATCGAGTCCTGAAATATCAATGTAACAATAAGTATCCATCTCAGTTAATTTTAGATCACAATTATATAGCTATTGTGTTAAAATATAATGATAGAGTAATTATTTAAAAGCCCCTCTTATCTCAAACTCCTAGTTGTTCATTTTGAATCGGGAGACCACCTTCTCCAAGATGGAATCTTATACAATACAATTATACTCCTATAATAGTCAGTGATTTAGCGTACGATTTTCTTGAAACTTTCCATAAAGTAAGGAGGTTATAGAACGGATAATCTGTGTAAGTTTGGGTGAATTTCTATGTGCCAAATTAGAGATTTCACTTCAAACACAAGAAAAGAGTACTGCAGACGCCGTGTTACCACCAAAAATGGCGCGGCGCGGCTCAAAATACAGTGCTGCGCTAAAACTCTATTTGTTTGTTTGTAATTATATCAAATTCTCGAAGACTCCAGAAGATGAATCCGAGTTCGTGGAAACATTTGTGACAGGATTAAAAACATATTTTTGGCTGTATATGTCCGTAAACTGAGTTGGATTTGCCCTGGTATGATACAGTGTCATGAGTACTAACATTTTAAGCCTCCTGTGAATTATTTCCCTGATTCATGGAATGAATAAAATGACCAAAAAATGAACATTGTCTCAGAATGCCCTGGACTGAGCTGAAACCGATTGGGATCGATTGGTAATGATACCAGAAGTGTCCCTGAGAAGTTTGGTGGGTCTAGCATGTTAAGAAAGGGCTCTGGGGCAATGTTTTCATTTTAGTTTCAGAGTAGTTGAGATGGTGGAAACATTTGTGACCGATTTGGAAACATGCCCTTGTAGCCGCAATTCTGCCTGGGCTGACTTGGAATCGATCTGGTATGGTAGAGGGACATGTGTACCTACTAACATTTCTAACCACTCAGAAGTCCGAAATATTGCCGAATGGTCGAGAGAAGCAAATATTAGTGTGAGGGTTAAATGAGGAGCTGTACATGATGCATACAGCTCTCTAGAATTCTGCATCTTGCCAACTCCTTTCATATGCGATTATCTATTACCTACTGCAGTGCTGTTCAATTTTAGCTGTTGTCTGTAACATTGTTACATATCAAGCAATCAGAGAAATTCGTATCAACAGTGTACAGTGTACAGTGTACAGTGTACATTTTACACTGCACACTGTGTACACTGTGTGTACAGTGTTCAATTTAAGCTGTTGTCTGTAACATTGTTAAGCAACAGCTTAAATTGAACACAATCAGAGAAATTCGTATCAACAGTGTCCAGTGTACACTGTACACTGGACACTGTTGATACGAATTACAGTGTACAGTGTCCAGTGTACAGTGTACAGTGTGCAGTGCTGTTCAATTTTAGCTGTTGTCTGTAACATTGTTACATTTCAAGCAATCAGAGAAATTCGTATCAACAGTGTACAGTGTACAGTGTACAGTGTCCAGTGTACAGTGTACAGTGTGCAGTGCTGTTCAATTTTAGCTGTTGTCTGTAACATTGTTACATTTCAAGCAATCAGAGAAATTCGTATCAACAGTGTACAGTGTACAGTGCAGTGTACAGTGTGTACACTGTGTGTACAGTGTTCAATTTAAGCTGTTGTCTGTAACATTGTTAAGCAACAGCTTAAATTGAACACAATCAGAGAAATTCGTATCAACAGTGTCCAGTGTCCAGTGTACAGTGTACAGTGTACAGTGTCCAGTGTCCAGTGCAAGTGTCCAGTGTACAGTGTCCAGTGTACAGTGTACAGTGTGCAGTGCTGTTCAATTTTAGCTGTTGTCTGTAACATTGTTACATTTCAAGCAATCAGAGAAATTCGTATCAACAGTGTACAGTGTACAGTGTACATTTTACACTGCACACTGTGTACAGTGTTCAATTTAAGCTGTTGTCTGTAACATTGTTAAGCAACAGCTTAAATTGAACACAATCAGAGAAATTCGTATCAACAGTGTCCAGTGTCCCGTGTACAGTGTACAGTGTCCAGTGTACAGTGTACAGTGTCCAGTGTACAGTGTACAGTGTACAGTGTACAGTGTACAGTGTACAGTGTATCCGTCTAATCTAACCCTAAAGTGGTGTCAAGACTCAAGAGACTAAAATATAGTAAGATTTTCGGTGTCAACAGTCGTTGTATCTGTCGTTGTATCTGCATCGTTGTATCACTCTATCGTACGCCTTTTACTTTAAAAGGCGTACGATAGAGTGACTCCACATTCAATCATCCCATCTATCAACTTAGCAAAAAACTCATGGCAAACTCACTGTTACATTGTTACTTTTCAAGCAATCAGAGAAATTCGTATTAAAGTGTACAGTTTACAGTGCAGTGTACAATGTACAGTGTTCACTGTACACTGTACAGCTAATCACATTTAACAGCGTGTACACATTATAGTGACTAGCAGGAACCCGTCTAATCTAACCCTAAAATGGTGTCAAGACTCAAGAAAATATAGTAAGATTTTCATTTAAGAAATGTTAGTACACATGTCCCTCTACCATACCAGATCGATTTCAAGTCAGTCCAGGCATAATTGTAAATTGCGGCTACAAAGGCATGTTTCCAAATCGGACACAATTCTGACACAATTCTTTTTTCCTTAATTAGGCTTAATTGTCACCTCTAATTGTGTTTACTCTACACTCTACAGACATGTTTAGTTGTACCCTATCTGGATGATATCTGTTCTTATCACGTGACCGGCCTACGTGTTTTCCGATGCTAATTTCAGACCTACTTGATCAGGGGAACGCGAACGGTAGTGCTTCAAATGTTCCAAATCTGCTGTTTTCGTCCGTTTCTATCTCTTCAACCTGAGAATATGTTTTGTTAGGGATTGGGTTAAGGTTAGGATCAGATAAGAGGGTTAATGTTTCGGATAGTTGTTCAGGGTCAGCTAGACTCTAGAGAACAGGTTGAAAAAGTCACATGACAGTCGAATGTAGAGTGATTAATCATCATCCGAAAAGATGTCGCTTTCGACTCGAGGATCTGGCTGACAGTCCATATTTCAGAGCCATACAGAAGGATAAACCAAGGGTCGACCGAGGGCAGGATTTGCTGAGAAGTTTTCTGTTCAACCGGACGATATGTCTAAAATTGAACAACTATAAAGGAGAAAAAAGAAAATGTACAATATTTGGACTACCTCAGGGGGCTGTACTCTCACCTTTTCAGTCTCCTCTTTATCCTTTACATAGCAGACATGACGCACAACACCCCAGAAGAGGTAAAAAGATATCTAAGCTGCTACAAATTTGCTGATGACGGTACACTTATGATTTCCTTCGAGAACATCTCCGGATGCCATGAAAAAATGCAGATGGTATACCTCAATTTCAAGAAACATGCGTCTCAAAAACTTAAAGAATGCAAAAGAAAGTGGGGTCTTATAACAAAATCAACTAATCGCAACTACGGTCTAAATGTTTACAGCCTCACTCTCCTCCTTAAGACAATGGTCCTCACTAAACTGTTCTATGCAGCACCTATTTAACTTCACAAGTGTCTCAATCAATTTAAAAGCTTCTGAAATAAAGTAATTCTAAAAATATCTGGATCAGTCCTGAACCCACAAAGGGAATTAACCAAAATTGCTCTCCACCTCCCACCACTGGATGTGCAACTCGAAGATCATGAGTGGTGGCAGTGGTGAGGCCTGCCGTTTCTGTTACAGCTTCATCGATTCTCCCATGCACCAGTTACCTGCAACTAAAAGAAGAGCTGGGTGGGGCAGACTCACATTCCTATCTAGATGAAGTGTTAACAAAAAGCAACACACAAAAAGCATTCATTAGGAGAGTCGAATTTCTTTGGGGACAGAATGAATCTCTCCAGGACTTAGCCAACTAAAGACTAGAAAACAAAGACTCTACAAACATCTCAAAGAAATAATAACACCTTAAAGAATAAAGAGGGAGGATCCTGGACCCCGAAATCCACCACCTTTCTGTACTTTCAGAGGTACCAATGTGGGAGGAAACCAGGGCTCATGCTGCCGCTGAGCTAAAGCAGTAGAGGGGATGGCGGCTTCTCTAGGATCTAACACGTCCTGAAACAGACCAACACTATGTCCCAACGCACTGGTGTTGGGATGTCTGCCCCGGTGCCTGCCCGGGTCAATAAAGCAGTCAAGCATCATGTATGTTAGGATGAGCATTCTCAACCAGCAGATGTGGGAACTCCCACAAAAGACCAAAACAGATCTAAAGAGACAATTAGCAAACTCGGAAAAATAGACTCAAATTTGTTTATATAATTCAAAGCGTATGTTATTGCCCACGTTAAGGGGCCTGTTGATAATTAATTAAATTATTAACTATTTTAGATTTAATGATAATAATAATAATAACTTGTTCTGAAAGTACGGTATTTTTATACTATGGGGATATCTAATCAAAGCATGCTATTCAAAATAAAGTACATACCATCGTTCAAAGTCTCCAATATCAGACGGGCTGACGATCGTTATTATATCGGCTGTGATCTCATATTCGAGCTAATTTAAGATATAAATGCTTATATATCAAACAATTTCATGGTGCATTATCTCCAATCATCTCGATATACACAGTATAGTTGCTGTAAGCAGCAACAATCAATAGCCACAGTAAACGAAAGATAGGCCGAGAGTAAATTAGATTGCAAATATAGCGTAAACCTATTACCAAAGACCAATGCGCAATTACAATGAATGAACAATGACGCGCATTCAAGAAAAATGACTGCAGAAGCAAAGAGATTGACTCTGAAATCGAATCCATAGCAACAGAGTTCTATTATCCAACGCGAAATACCAAGCATCCCTATATCTTCAAATTTGCGCAAATAATAACATCCTTATGCGCGGCACATTGGTTGTAGATTTTCAAAATTCAAATCATAGCCAAAGTTATGGTTAATTTTAAAGCAAGATTTTGAACCAAATTTTGCGTGTAAATTATCCATTTTTTGTTCATAATTGCTCATAACTTGAACAACTTACGTTGAATCGAATTAAACTCTGCGGTATTTGATAAATGAAACAATTTTCTTCAAAACAAAATAATTTTAAACCTAAACATTCGCGATTTGACTAAACATGAGTTTTAGGGAAATTCTAAAAATAAAATTTACGCGTTTTGAGCGACGTACGAAGTCCGCGGCATTCGCCGGGGTGCAGCAGAAGTTCATTAAACTTGTTGAGTCCAGTGAATGCAGGTATACACTGTTTAGGAGGGGATTGATAGAAGAGGCAGCCAGACTCTTGCTGAATCGGTACTGGAATCTTCACTGATCTCATCAAATGAACTTTTAAAAAGATGCAGTTGTACATCAGAAGTGAAGAAAACTTACGCGAACAGCTTGATTTTTAGCGCTACTACTGGGTAGTAGATATTTTTTCTTGGATTTGTTGTTTTTTAGTGTTGCGCACTTCACACAATAATATCTCTCTACCAAAAATTCAGCAAGTGAAAGTAAATACTGTGTAACACTTAAATCACCCATAAGAGGCTTGTATTGGTCTGATGGGTGATTAAACAAAGACCATAGAATATCAAGTTTTTTAAAAAGAAAAATGGCGCTCGATTCTTATTTAATGATATATTGTGTAATAAATGAAATCATCCGCGCCCAGCAACAATGTGCTCAAATGATTATTAAGTGAACATTTTATGTTTTAATTGTATTTTGATCTTAGTTGTTACAAATATTTAACAATGATTAAGCATTACCAAAATTTTTAAAGATTGTGTGTTGGTTTTGAATTAATGATTTAAAATTTAATGACTTTGTGGTGTATTTTTTGTTTACTTACAACTTAACTTAATGATTTATTACTCCCTCAGCTCAGCTCTTTACACGTATATTATAATGTATATGCGAGAAGCTCGAAAAGAGCACCGCGCATTCAGCATTGGGATTGGTGTGCAGTGTGCCGGTTGGAGTTGTCATACGTTGTTCTAACCAGAGCCCTCTCGCTTGCAGTAGCGCGCGACCGCTTGTGAAACAAGCGCGTCACGCAGTACGCGTATACACATGGCTATGTGAACATACGTTGTATGACCCGCCGCGCACGAGTGCGCGGCTTCCCCTGTATCGTCGAAACTCTACAGGGGTATAGTGAAGCGACAGTGGCAGTGGGGGTCACCACATGATACAAGGTTGGAGGACTTCACCGCTTCGAACGGGCCGCGCAAATTAGCATTCTTGCTTCTCAACCCATCGTCGATCGTTATTCTGCTTCGCAAAGCAACGATCTCAATGGGTTGACACCGTCAATCAAGTGTGCCAGGTAAGTTTTTTATGTAATATATTATTGTTTACCAGCTTGATAATATTATATATTGGTCGTTACTTTCACGTATAGCTCTGCCAATAACTTTTCCAATAACTTTTTGTAATATACTATATAACTAACAGTACAGCGCGTTGCAGCACTTTGCTGGGCCGCGCCGCGCATGAAATACTTTGTCTCGCAACCAACAAATCATAGCATGGTAAAACTTGCCATACGTTGTATGACCCGCCGCGCACGAGTGCGCGGCTCCCCCTGTATCGTCAGCAAATTACTTGACACCCACCATAGTGAAACGACCGTGGGGGTCGCGACGTGATACAAGGTAAAACTACAATTAAAAAAGGTTGGCATCATCAATTATGTAGTACATTATTTTTTTATTAAACTGCTGATTGGAGAAATCAGACAAAGAAATTTTGACTATTTAGGGTTATATTTAAAGTTATGGTTAATATAGTGAGGTTACGGTTGGTTAGGGTTATAATTACTGGTTCTAAGGTTCATGTACAACTGTTAATGTTTTAATTCTAACCGTGAAAAAGTTTTAAGGCTTTACGTACATCCTTTGTCATACGTTGTATGACCCGCCGCGCACGAGTGCGCGGCTCCCCTGTATCGTAGAAACTCTATAGTGAAGCGACAGTGGGGGTCACCACGTGATACAAGGGGGTCACCACGTGATACAATACATCCTCTCGTCCATATTAGCATGTATGCACACATAATTGTTTTATTGTAATCACCGCCATAAATTTCATGTTTGATGCTGATTGCTAGTAAAGTTAAGTAAAGTTCAATACAATGTAGACTTACTTCATTCAAACGTTCGAATGTAAGCGCACGCATGATCTTTGTTAAATTTTGTGTTGTAGGGTGTCCAATCCTCGTTTGGACAACTTAGACACGCAGTTTTAACACATAGTTAATTGTAAACGGTACAAAGCACATCAAGCACATCCACTACAGGTAATTTATATGATTTGGTTGTCCAGGACACCTTGCAATCTGAACTGTTATGATACTGCTTGTCTGAGATCTTACACGTGTGTGTCCTGTTTCACTCATGTTATAAGTTTTTGTTTTTGTTTATTTGCTGTCGCCTGTGACACATTACATACACGAGGCACTGTGGCCTGTGTGTAACTGTAATGTACGTTGGAATAATTTAATTAATTAATTAACTCTCTGCTATGGTAATGGTATTGTATGCAGTCATCGGTGAATAGACATCGGCAGTTTGGGGGGGGGGGGGGGGGGGGGGAGCTTGGGGCGGCCCAAGCCCCCCTCCCCCAGTCGGTCGGACACCCAACAAAACTGTCAGCCAACTCCCACGAGCCGCCTCTGATATACACAGTATGGAGAAAGATCGTTTCAGAAAGTTGGCCCTAAATTATGGAATGAGCTGCCTCATGAAATTAAGAATTACATGTCACTGGACTCTTTTAAAGTGTATCTGAAAACGTTTATTTTTAAACATGCTTATGATATTAATTAATCTATTATCTTTTCGATGTTTCTACTGTTAAGTGCATACCCTTTACCTTGTAATTTAGTGTATGAAGTCTTTACAATTTTCCTTGGTTTGGAACCTATATGTGGATTGCTTTTCAGGTTTTCTTGTATCCTGACTTGTTTTCGTGGCACACCTGTGCATTTTAAGTTGTTGTGCCTCTATAATCTATTAGTTTAAATTAATATTATTAACTGTAATCAGTAATACACCACCTGCAGATAGTTTGCCAGCCAAATTGGGTGCGAATTTTACAGTTGGCAGATATGTCCTCTAATCCTGTGTGTTAGGGGCACTACGGCCTTGTAGCATTCCGTCGATACAGAGAGATAGCTTTTACTGGCTTTGAGCAGCTCCTCTACTGCAGTGTACTACTACTACTTGTACTTGATTAGGTCTCCTCAATCATTCGAGTGGCCTGCACCAATGAACTCCCGTTTGTGACGTATCATCTCCCTCCAAAGTTTTCGGTCACTAGCCATCTTGCTCGCTCCTTCTAGGTCTATGTCAGTGTTTCCTGTAAACACTGCAGCATCTTCCAGCAAACATTTCCTCCAGTTCTTTCTTGGACGGCCCCTAGATCTTCTCCCATGCGCAGGGGTCCAGTTAAGCAGGTACTTAGGAAGCCTAGTGTCTGGCATTCTGGTGACATGGCCAAACCAACGCAGGCGGTTTGCTCCTATGAACGTCTCTACTGGATTTATCTTTGCACGCTCCAGCACTTCAGTGTTTCTAACCCGATCGAGCCATCTTATCCTAAGTATTCTCCTCAAGCAACGCTGATGGAACACCTCAAAGCGATGTAGCTGCTTTTTGGTTGTGTTCCAAACCTCACTACCATATAACAATATTGTCAAAACTGCTGCCTTATAAATCCTGATCCATATATTACTCAGTTGATTGAAGGCTCCGGAAGCTTTCTGAATCCTAGCTGACAGCTCACGGTCGATAGTACCGTCGCTGGAGATAATTGTACCTAAGTACGTAAAGTCACTAACTTGCTGCACTGGCGTGTCTTCAACAGTGATGTTCACTGTGGCTTCTTTCGTGTATGGCCGTTGAGAGGTTGCTTTACCAATGACCATAGCCTCAGTCTTTTTACCATTGATTCTGAGACCTCCCTGGGCACCATACATACACAAAAGGTCAGTTGTTTCTTGAAGACCTTCCTCGCTGTTATCCAGTACAGCCATGTCATCTGCATAGTCTGTATCTAACACAGTGATATCATCAACAAGCGGACTGATAGATCTTTGAAGAACCGCTCCGTGGGACACCACTTTGTTGCTTTCTGTTCTCTCAGCAGCCACATTGAGGCAGACATTAAAAAGTGGGGGACCCTGAATGTCTCCTTGGCCACTGCCTGAACTTACTTCAAACCATTCTGATAGTTCACCATTGTGTCTAACAGCACTGACAGTTCCATTAAAGAATGCCTGTATTATTCGAATGTATTTACATGGCAGGCCATAATGACTGAAAGCTTTCCAAATATAATTCCTGTCGATAGAATCAAAAGCTGCCTTGAAGTCCACAAAATTTACATACAGGGGGAGATTATATTCAATGCAGTTATGTATAATAGTGCGGAGTGAATAAATCTGATCAATGCATGATCTGTTCTTTCTAAACCCACACTGATTGTCTCGTAGCAAACTTTCTAAACCGTCACTCATGCGTTGTAATATGATGATTTGATACAGTTTAGATGCTGTAGATCTTAGAGTGATCCCCCTGCAGTGTAGATGCCATAATTTCAAATAGTGGAGTCAGCAGGACTCCAATCGATAGACCCAGGCAATCAATTGAACAGCTAGCCCACCAATGGAAATGAGGTTCAGATTGGACCAATTCTATGCATTGATCTCTGTGTTGGACTGGAACAAATTGAGTCCCATTCAGCTTTGAATTTGTGATTTAGCAAAACTGGGCCTGATTGATTTGGTCTGTTATCTAGATGAAACTTTGCTGAGTTGTCAAATAACCGCTTTTTTGTATAGGAATGGTTTAGTGCTGTTCTGATAATGGATAGGGTAAGATATAATGGCTGCACAACCAACAGCTGAGTTTCCAGAGAGAAGACGTAAAGAAGACAACTTATTGAGGTTAGATTTAAATATTTGTATTCCTTATTTTTGATGTCCATATTGGATAAATTTGAACAATGAACATGCACTATAGATCCGAAATGGAGGCTGCGCCAATACAGTAGCTTCTCACCGAGTCAGGAGGTACATAATTCAAATGAGTACCTACTTAATTTCTCAAATACAAACGTTTTATCAAATAAAACTAATCCATGTTTCTTCAGGTCGCTCATACACCAGGGATTAGAGACTATAAAATTTGACGATGTGAGGTATACACACGAGCTGATTGGGGAAGGGTTTTGGGGTGAGGTATTTAAGGTGAGAACTTCTTGTCGACTATGTTAAATATTTGTAAGTTGATTTTATCAACTTGATAAGATCAATTATATTGCATGTATATTACTATTGCAATTTCTTTGTTTTGTCGTTTCTGATATGTATCTATAAGTTTGTTTTGGTGACTGGGACTTATCACAATATTTAACAAATATTGTCCAGCAGTTGAGTCGTAAATTTGGTTACACTGCTGTGTTTACAACGCAACCACAAATCATATAACATTGTTTTATCAAGACATGCTATCTACATGAAATGTTTAATATTTATAATGACACAATTGTTGGAGTCTAGATTTATACAGTAATATGGTCATGTTAGTCAGATTGGAGTGAATTGTAAACACGCCCTTAATGTTTATTGTTAATGGTCACCATGTTGATTGGTAATGAAGTTAACCCTTTGTTTGAAGACAAAGGGTTGTTGCAAAACTTGTATCACAAAACTGTGAATAAAGAACCCTCTCATTTTTATTGTCAAGATTGTAGACTATGTTGGTAGAAAACCAAAAGCAAGGATTTTATCACAAGTGCGCTACAGTACAAAGTTATAAGCCTTAGTTGGTTAATTAACTAGTTAGTAAAACTGTTTACCAATTACTTGGCTAAATTATGATAAACAAAATATTAAAATAAGACAGAAGTACAGTTAAATGAGTCTTGGTTGTACAATCTGACAGTGTAATCACATGCCGATGCAGTAACTACCACAGGGCGGCGTTGCTCCATAATCTTTACAGTCTTCGTTTTCAAAGCAGGAAACTCTACTTTTTTTCCCTGAAAAAGACACTGAATCAATCACCTTTAAACACCTATTATAAAAGTCAGTACCCATACGTTGGCCTTTATAGCTCAGTCACTGAGTGCCCAATTTAAATACTTCTTTCTGGTATGACTTAGTACCACCACTGGTTCGAGGAATTTGTCAACTCGAAAAATATTCGCGTTCATTTTTTTCAAATGGAGGTTCATTTTTACATTTATTTGATAGTTTGGATAGTCGGATCAAGCTAAATGTTATTGAATTGTGTTTGGCCATTCGAATTACGTTTGTCCTGAAAGAATTAGAACTGTAGCTTCTCAGATGACCGAGATATGAAGCATAACGAGTTTATTCATTACGTGTGATCAGGTGATTGGTTTACCTAATCACGTGATAAGGTGCCCCCGTTAACTACCCCGTTAAACATTATGGGAATTGTTAAGGGTGCCCAATTAAGGTGTCGTGTCACGGTGTCACATAATCACCCAGTCAATTTTGTTAACGAGATACAGAAAATGCTTGATAACTTCGTTATTTCTAATCCGTTTTGCCTCATGTTTTCAGATCATATGCAACATTTGATAATCTACCGTCTCTGAAAAAAATTAGGCGTTCAGCATGTTCAGAGAAAACAATATAGGTGTTTTAATATTGAATGGGCGTGGTCTAAAATATTAGAATTTTCAAATTTTGACGACGGAATCCTCGAACCAGTAAGTACAGTATGCCATCTGCAAAGCAACAGCTCTCAAATATAAAACACGGCGGAGCTATTAAGGCCAACGTATGGGTACTGACTTTTGGCCCACCCTGTATATATTATTTTTTAATGTATATTTATGAAACCTAAATCTTCATCCTTCTCCATTACTTGTCACTGAGCCAGGGAACCAGTGGAGAACCAAAGTAAAACTTAACAAGCAACTAGTGTGCCACTATCATGCAGTTCAACACAACGTGCAGTTTTCCAAGTAAAACAGTGCAAAGTATTAAAATTGGAAGTTAAACACTTACTCGGACCGTCTTTGCCTTTAATGAAGCACCACTCCTTCTTCCAGGAATACCTGTCCGAACAGTGAGTCTCCGGTTTAGTCCACAGGTTGCCCGGGTGTCTGTTACACTGCTTCCAGCACTTTTGCTGAGGTGGGGTTATTATCAGGAGATTTGTAGAAGTTATAAGTAGTTGAAAAGCAATATTATTGAGAATATTTGAATATAAGTTACTGCAAGGTATTTACATGACTTACTGCAAGGATCTTGTTGAATGATAATTGGCGAAAATATGTGGTTCACAGCTTATGAGACCACTGATATGAAAAAATGCGCCGAAAATTCCAGAACATTATAACTGAAACCTACATTGTAACAGCCGTAGCTACAACCGTATTTCTGATCGCACATCTCTCCGTTAAAGAAGCAAGTGCTGTACGCCAGGCTGACCAGCACCGCCAGTATAATCGTACATCTCATCTCCAGAACCGACTCTTCAACCAGCTATAGGGAGATTTGCTGTTATCTTCAGTGTTTCCTTACAACGAGTGGTATATGACATCTGTGACGTGTGTGTCTGTATTATTGTACATTGCCTCCTCCTTTTAGTGTGCTTAGTCTCCTCTACCATGGTAATCTCCTCTTTTATTCTCTCTCTCCTCTCTACTCGCTTACTTGACGGCCTCGCCAATCATGTCATGAATATTTCATTAGCTGCGGACTAACGGAGCTGCCGTAATTAGCCATTGTTGCCGGTCCTACCCAGCATATCGCAACATACCGGAACCACCTGGAGTGATATCGTAACATACCGCAACCACGCGGAGTGAAATCTTAACATTCCGCAACCACTTGGAGTGAAATCTTAACATACCGCAACTACTTGGAGTGAAATCTTAACATACAGCAACCACCTGGAGTAAAATCCTAACATACTGCAACCACCTGGAGTTAAATCTAAAGATACTGCTACCACTTGGAGTGAAATCTTAACATACCGCTACCATCTGGAGTGAAATCTTAACATACCGCAACCACCTGGAGTGAAATCTTAACATACCGCAACCATCTGTGTTTGTGAGTGAACCATCCAGTTCATTGTACATTCATCATGATTCATGCTGTGTAAATGTAGCTTAAGATGCCCTGTATATAATGTGTATTGTGTATCTGTAACACTTAGCAGTATGGGTAGTGGATATTAAGGAGTGGAGATAACACTCAGAGCAACTCGTCAGTATAACTGGTGTTATATAATATATTGGCGTGTTATCTTGTTATGGACTGTGTAAGGTTTTCTGGGATACACACTCACCCATGGTCCTGTATCCCCCTGCTGACTCGTTGACGTGTCATATATTTGTAAGGTTGTAAGGTCACGTGTATGGGCATGTGGTGTCACGTGGTGTCACGTGTGAAGTGCTGTGTTGTGAGATTTGGTACGATTTGTTAGGTTTTTATGTTATCCTGCATTACTGTGGTGTGCGATGATTTATGTGGCACTTACATTTTTGGTGCTATGATTAAGTATTTGGCAAATATCTCCCTGTCGTGCATCTAATATTAACATTTCTTTACAATCAAGGCTGTACTTTACACACGATATATCCGCAGAATTTATATTAATATACGTTACAAAATACTAGACTTCAGGGTCTATTTGGTGTAATATGACACGAAGTTTATTTTGATACGTTACTGACTATACATACTGTATACGTTTACTTAAGGATTACTGTATGTCCTGCTGCCACATTCTTTCATTTTAATAATTTCAATAAATAAATGATTTTATCAACTCGATATTATAAATCAACAATCTAAATTGTCACGTTGATTGTTGACATGATTACATTATACATATCATATAATATATTATTACATTACATAAACTTCTTGTGTATTTGATTCACATAAAACAGTAGGCTCACGTACTACTATTACAGATAACGAGTGGTGACAATGTTATGGTGTTAAAGACGTCCAAAGCAGGTGTCAGCAGTGGAACTATACAAGGAGAGCAGCTTACTTTAAATGAGGTGGAGATAATGAGGACACTCCACCATCCTAATATTGTGAGGTGGGTACACTGACAAACTGACAAACTGACAAACTGACAAACTGTCAAACTGACTGACACTATGTTTTAATACTTAACACTGTTTAAATAACTAATAATTTGAGGAGGTTCTCAGAAGATGATTAAATTGTAGATTTTAAGAGCCTAACTAACCCTGTGTATTTATTCCCTTCCCCAACCAAAATTCAAGTTATTACCATTAAATATATATACATTGTGAAATGAGTAGAGAATGTAACAAATAAATGTAATGTTACAAATAAAAGTGACAGTTGACACTTTGATTTAACGAGGCTCTTTTCTGGAGACGACTAAGTGAGAAGCCGAATAATAGGTTAAAATGAAACCGGAAATTTTAATAACAGCACAGTTATAATTATCGATTCGCGACTCCAGAACTGTCAGTCGTCTATAACAACCTAACACTCTTGCACAGACACCTCTTGTACAGACAGACAACATTACTTAATATTCTTGGCTAACTACAATTCCAAGAAAAATATCATGTTTGTAACCATACAAATTGTTGTTGTGAAAATTTGTTGAGCACATGTAGTATTTCCATTTTCCATCCAGCTTGATTTAAAAATTCCGACAATACTATTGTTTCTATTTCACACAACACATTAACAACATGTTTGTTGTAGAGTGTAAGATATACATTTGAACAGACAAGTTTAAACAACATATTGTAGTGCTACATTTCATAGGTACACGCTAATAAAATACTCAAACAAACTTATATATATTACAGTAAATATCTATAAGATATCATAACGACATGTAACATCAGGATACAGATCACAGATCTAGACGTTCACTACAACCCCTACAAGGGAGATTTGTTTGGTCACTCTCTCAGCTATGTTGGATAGTTATAGAGAGTAGTTATATTTAGAGTTGACTATCTGCGGTACTATAAACTATAAACATGTTGCGCATACCTGAAATAGCTATGTTGCAGATCTGAGTGTGTGATGACAGATATTTGTGGGTGGTCAACCAAAATATAGACAAAATAAACCATGTTAAGACCTAGTAAATGGTTAAAGTGGAGGATTGTGTTTGGCAGAGGCCGGGTCAGTGATTATTCAGTGATATAAAACGTTAACTACTGCTGTCCAGTACTATATTGGATGAGAGGAACTTAACGAGCTATGAAGATGAGATACAGCTGCCTTGAGTCTGGTCTCTATTAATTTAGGGAGGCGATGGAAACATTAATACGATAAAGATTTCGTTTCAGAAGCTTTTCTAAAAGCATACGATATTAACCGTCGTCAGGTGTTGTTGATTAAATGGACCTTGTTATTTTCGGGAGAGTGCTGCACTGGTTTATGTCATTACTACCCTGCCTGCAGCTTGCACGTGTTAAAATAGTTGTTAAAAGAGATTGGGTAACAATATTCATTAACTAGACCGACTGAAGATATCACTCTTTAAAAGTTAGCACGTTAGAATGGGTCAATTGCGGGATTATGGCCGCTGCTGACGGACATTACATAATTGAAAGCAAATAAATCTTGAATACTCTGCGATTATTTATTTTCTGGTATGTTGAGAATAGAACTATAGCTTCAAACCTTTACCTTACAAAAACGCCAAAAACAAGATTTAGAGCTTTCCTGGTAGGCGAAATGACGAATAATTCTTACATTCGGTAGAACCATTTCAATATGAATAAACATTCAACATTAAACCGCAATGTTGAATACATGCAATACATTTCGATTTTAGCCGCATTTATGCAAGATTTACAAACAAACATATTGCCTAAAAAGCTAAAACTTTTGGTTTTCAAAAAACTTTGCAAAACAGTTTTCATCATATTGTACGCTGAAAAACAACCATTAACGACTCATTTATAAAGCGCTTGCTGTACTCAACAATAACTATACTCTCATGATAAAGTGTGTATTAAGCTACAAGTTCCAGATCGCTGAACTTTAATAATGTTTCAGGTTTTTGGGGTGCTGTGTTACGGATAAGGGCCAGCTGTATCCGCTACTTGAGGTTAGTAAATACTATACTTCTATACATTTAGTTATTAACATTTAGTTAACATCTACAATCTATATCTTAAATAACTTTACTTTCAACTTGGTAAACCTCTAGTCCGCTAGTCGTTGTAGCTCACTTAATTCTTAACTGTAAATATGTTTCTACTAGTATAACCCGTGCCTACTGCAGCTGGGACTTCACTATCGCAGTTGAAATGCAAAAGTATGAACGAAAACATTTTCGTAGTTAAAGCGGTGCGAAAGTATGAACTCGCTCATTCCAAACAGACCACAATTTAATTCTGAGTGCCCCTCACATGTTTACTCCTTCATAAAAATATTTATCATTTTTTACAATCCACACATTATTTTCAACTCACCCTGTTTTCTTGATTAAGCCGTTAGGAAATTACACGCGAACGAACGAATGAACACACATCTTGAGATTATTAGTATAGATATAATTACTAATTAATATAATATCGATTTAATTAAGAGTTGCTGGGATAGCAGAAAGTTAATAGGAGCTTGACACGATTTCTCAGTGTAGACTTATGTCATTATGTGCTCTCTACTCAGAATAAATATTCAAATTTAATTCAAAATGCGATATAGAACTTGAGTTAAAGACTAAATAGACAGTCATAAGACACTTTGTCGGGCTGCTGTAATTCTAAGGCAAACCCGGGCCTTATAAATATTTCAGGAATTCGTCAAAATGCTGCCGCCCTAGATTTAAAGCCTTTGGTGATGCTTTCTGTAAAGTAGGATTACTGTTGCATTTAACAGGCAAGAGTTCTTTTAATGACTACGAAGCGTATTAAAGTTCAATCAATCATAGGAATATATATGAAAGGAGCTTGGTGACAAAGAATCTATAATGGCATTTGTAATAACCTTGTGATACACCGACACTTAATATTTAATATTTCGGATAGCCGCTCGCAATTTTCTCCAAAAATAAACCCCGCCTTCTAAAACTGTAATAACAATGCAATGTAGTCACTAAATTCAGTAGCACTGCAATCTTAAAGCCTTTCCCCGTCAGTAATCAACAACACATCATGTAACAAATAATCAAACACAATTTCATAAATCTGGATCAACTCTATCCTTATTAGACAGTAGACACCGACCAAAGTTCCATGAGAGGAACGGCAAATTAAACAACGAAGAGGCCAGAATGGTGAACTCAAGCATGGTTATTAGCAGCAGGTTATTCGTCTTCACCGCTTAGTTTAACATGGTTAATATAGTGGTTTCCAGTAATTATTGTCAAAGTCGTACTCTAAACTTCTAAAGGTGACGGCAATTTTACACTCTGAGCTGTAAAGGATTTAATATTGTCTGTACACGGAGATTGTCAGATTCTTAAAGCATGCCGGGTGCTATGATAATGACATGCCGTTCGCCTATTCGCACAGCCTCAAAGGTTGTCTTAGGGCCTCAATTTGATAAGTTATGTTCTAAGTATATGACCTTTTGCCTTGAATTCTTCAACTACAGCTGTACTGTTTCAATACATTAACTTAAGTATGTATTGTTTTCTAAAGATGTCAAAACAGCAAGAATAAGTAACTAGGTCACTACTGAATGAGTGAACTTATTTGTGAAGTATGTCAGATGTATGATTCACTTGAGATATCTGGCTTTACAATAAATAAATCTAGCGAAAATCAGCCATCTCGGACGCTGTCATCTGAATTCTATATTATTACTTACTTACTTTTGAATGACTTGATGATTAGGCAACAAGATTTGGGGCACTAGTATAATTACTACTAGTATAATTACTGTATAGCGGGTATACTGTATAGTGCCGTATTTTACTCCTACAAATACGATCCTTCAGCTACTCAAGAATTTGATTAATACTCTGTAAGGGCCTCAATACAGTACAAAGTACGTCAGGCTTATAATAAAATCAAGTTTAAAAGGTTTACACAATATGATTTAATATGTTGTCACGATAGTTAAATAGAGCCCTAGAGGAGCCCAGTAACTGTTAAAATAAATGTACAGTAAAAGATTTTAACAAAAGTGGGCGTGTTTTAGCGGCTTATTTCCCAACAACTACTGGTCATGGTCAAACCATGAATCAGTAAAATGTAACACATGGTGACAATAATATAGAACTAGAACTGAGTATGTACAGAACAAAAGAGAGTATGAAGTATGAACTAACAATTAACACCACAACGCACCGGTGTGACTAAAAATAGAAGTTAACTCTGCAATTAACTAGTATTATTGTATTAAACCTCTGGTTATCTTAATAAAGACACTCACACAACTCTCCACAGTGTAGACTTCATAGTTATGGAAAGAAAAACTTTGGACGAAGTTAGTAAAAAGAGAAATGATCTTCAAAACTCAATCATTGTTGTTTCTCCGACATACAAAACCTTGGGGGTGCCGGTGCATGATGAAAACTAATACTAAACAGTAAACAGAATAAAACATCTGCCAACACCACAGTAGTAGATCTGAATTACTGAGTAACTCAAAACCATTGTATTACAGGCTAGTCAGCGTTGTAACAGTAAACAACAGCAGCAGTACGAACTACGACTTAGCGAGATCATTGTCGCACGTAATGTTTCCCGATCATCAAACAAAAATAGGTCACAACATGTATAAAATACTAGCCCACTAATCCCAGTCTGAATTGAGGGGGCGTGGCCCTCATTAACACTCTAAAGTTTTTGCGTCACTAACAAAGTAACAACTATATTTTTGAACCATTGACCGCTTCATTGACCGTGATAAACTCCCTTAGACCACCTGTTTTGGGATAAAAACTTTATTGTAACTCACTTAAAATTAAATCAGTTTGTTCTTAAAGGTGTTAAACATATTAACATGAAGTGGAAAGGGATTAAAGTTGCCTCATGTGGTTTGTGGGACATGTCTTTTTAAAGGAGTCCTTAGGCCGCACGAAATACAGCGTTGTAAATGTGATAAAGATGGTAAAGGTCCTATGTAAGTGAGGAATGCGTGGAGATGGTTGGTGGAGATGAGGGGTGGGGGGTTCCAATGGTGAAAAATGGTGAAATCTTACCTTTTGGATATTCGATTCGCCATAAAATCTTTCACCATTTTTCACCATTGTAATCCCCCCGGCCCTCCCCCGATGGGTGGAGACTTGAGAGATTTTGTGTACTGTAACATAGAGTCAGAATTACTGCTCGATTTCTGGCCCGTCAAATTAGAGATTGTTACTGCAAACCGTCAAATCTCGGTGTGATTAGTCTGTTTATTATAAACTGCAGTGTTACTGTACAGTTTATAATAAACACTATGACGTCAGGGAAGTAAGCTGTGCCCACATTAGTGCTGAGTTTCGGTTAGAATGGTCTTCGTTAGGATTAGTGTTAAGATTTCAGCAGACATGCAGATATAGTGTACCAGGGTTAAGCAAATCTTAACTGGCTGTTTAAAATTTACCACAAAATTTAGATATTATATCCTCGAGCTACCAGACTGAAAGATTTCCATGTGCCAGATCAACTTTTAAACATTTTCCTTTCAGTTCATAAATGGAGGTACGCTAGAGGATTTCCTTATGAACGAAAGTATTGAAATACCTTGGATAACACGGTTTACGATCGCTTCCAACATTTCCAATGGAATGAAATACCTGCACAACCACAACATCATGCACCGGGATCTTACTAGTTCGGTAAGCTTAGTTGATAAGCGTGTGTTTCTGCGCCGCACGCAACGTCAACAATGGGATTTTCAAATATTTGTCATATTTGTTCATGTATTTGTCACATAGGGGGGGGTGGGGGGGAGTATTGAGTAACCCTATTGCCCATTTATTCTTCAACTCTTGGTCAAAATGGGCCGAGCATGGACATCGAAAGGCATTGCTGTTTTTAAGGCTTTGCCCATCGAGTATACAAAGTGTGAATGTTTTGGAAGTTTTAATGGCAGAGATGAGCGTGTTATAAAAGTTGTGAGGCACTTAAATACATTCGCACTCTCCATCCAGCCTGCTGGGATTAATTCACCTAAAACATAAAATATTCATGCTCCAGTGATACAGTAAATACCCGATCTACCGCAAATCTCAAATTTACCGCGGGTAATTTTTTCCCCGAATTTTTCTTCAGAATTCACTCCAAAATTATAAAATATTCATGCTCCAGTGATATTTGGTACAGTAATTTTCGTCTGGACAGAAACACACTTACATAATATATATGCAGTAAAAAACACAAGATGTGCGTGCTCGTGTCTGGTAAATTCCTTACATTCCTCAGAATATACTGCTGAGGATCGCGGAAGCTGCAGACGATGTTCAAGTGGAAGCCTTGATCTCAGACTTTGGACTTGCCAAGGACATGAAGATGAAGGAAAGAACTTTGTCCCAAGTAGGAAGTGTGGATTGGATGGCACCTGAAGTCATCATGGGTAAGCACAGCACTTTATTGACACTCTCGCACTTTAAATCCTATTTATTGGAGGGTTTTACGTTATATGCACCTTATTAAGGTTTAAACATTTAAAGATGTGTAAAAGTTATTTTATGGGTTTGTAAAGTTTTGTTATTTAAGTTTTGCTATTTAAAGTCGTTAGGTGTTAGGCACTTGTTGAATATTTCATATAATCTCAAGTCTCTACTCTCTCTAACATGCATGTCTTCCATTCCTGAACGTCATACCATATATTTACGAAAGTTAGCGTATATATTAATTATATGTCTGAACTAGATACCGACACACCGGCTTCTCCCCCTTATATAATACTCTTTACACTTCACAGGGAAGCAATACAACAAGAAAGCTGATGTTTTCTCCTACGGTATAATCCTGTGTGAGATGATTGGCCGGTGCGAGGCTGACCCTGAAACTTCTGTCATCCGCACCATCAGCTTTGAAGTGGACTTTGATGACTTTACCGTGAGGTCGTGCGAGGGTTGCCCGCCTCAGTTTCTGGACTTGGCTAAAGCTTGCTGTCAGGTAAGGAAGGTTGCTCCGTCTCTCCGAGTTGACGTCAAGTCCGGGCTGGTTCAGGCTTGCCAGGGTGGTCTTCCTCTGGTCGCCGTGTCAACACATTGTCACGTTCTATACTCCTGCCAGGATGCGGCGAAATATGCGATTATTTGCGTGTCGTGACAGATATCTCGCTGAGAATACATAGCATACCAGCTGCTCGTTACAGCAGAACTCAAAACGCAGGGCTGTGTTAGATACTAGAAACTTCTAATATTGCATTACACAATTGCACAATATATAATATCTATATATTGTGACTCGTATCTCACCCTTCTTAAGTCTAATCTGCTAAGTAAATCAAGTGACATTTTACGTCAGAGATATTAGGTCACATTTAACAGCGGTAAAGTTCACGTACGGTTTCCTCCACGTATTTCGTCCGGATTTGGTCATCCACAATTCACACCCTAATAATTTCAATGCGTTATGTAAGTGGTTTGGTATGTGAAATATGGGGATGGTATGCAAACTATTAACAAGGTTCGCTCATACTAAGCTAAAAACCGTTCACTTATAATGAAAATGTTTACTGTGCGTCGGCATAAGATCATCATCAATCTAATATTTAAGAAGGTTCTGGATGTTTATAATATGGTGAGGCTGCAGGGTAAGATTTAATGCACATTTCTGCACAAATAAGGGTTAATCCGTTATTACAGATACGATTTCTCTAGGTGTTAGAGTTATGTGTAACGGTGCGATCCACCACTAAAAACACTAATTGTGGAATGGCTCCCTGGGAATATTGAACATTTACAAGGAGCATCTACAGGACAACTTACACAAACCCTGTATTACCACAATTAATGCTGTGTTCTGTGACCATCTGTACATCATATGTACTGTCCAGTTGTCAAATAAGTTGTATTCATAGAGTACCACTGACCAAGCAAAAGAACCTGAAATACAGTCCGAGAAAACACACACACACACACTTTCAGTCCAATTGTTGTTAAACAGCATGTTAAAAACACGTCCCCTGTCCAGTTCAGTGCTGTGTACTAGAAAGTGGGCAGAAAGATAACAGGTTTTAACAGGGTGGTACACTTTCTCTTGTCAAGTGCTAATACATTTAATTGATAGCAGCACGCAGTGTATGTGTGCTAAGTGCTGCATGCAGTGAGCGACAGTGTATGTGAAATTGGGGTGCACACTTAAGTGCACATTCCTCTGTATGTGAATTAATAATAGCTAGATAATTGCAACACTCGGCAGATTCACAGCGCTGTATTATTCATGTTCAATAGCTGTTCAGTACAGCACAAATTGTGGCAAATTCCTTTGTCGATGGGACAAATTTTTCCTGGATTCTAGAAGAAAGCGACGGCAATCAGCTGATATGGCTTTTCCTTTGAGTAGGTTGCAGCGATGTGGAGCGGACCTTTCAAAAATTGTAAATACCCGCCGCACTGTCGTTTCGCCCTAAATAACACCCTTAATGACACCTACCACCGCGTTATGTCGTCTACCATGTACGTAATGTAGATTATCTAAAGTTACGACTCGTCTGATGTAATTGTTGCGGTTTTTGGGAGCATTCCAAATTATGATGTGTTCTAATTAACGGTTAAATTAATTTGCGTTGAGGTTGCAGAGTAAACAAATCAGAACCTGGGCGTCGGCCACATTGCTGACAGATAGTGGAATTTCATATACTTACTGTAATACGCGCCAACAAACATCGTGATTTCCGTGGCGCAAAATCCGCATGATAGAACTAGACTAAGCTAGATAGCTTTACTTAGAACTAGCGCGACCGCGGTTCGATATATATATCTGGTACCGGATCGCGTCGATGGACCTCGTCCGGATTTATCTGAGATGAATAAGAATAGCTCTGAGTTAGACGAGTGGGAGCGCCTAGACCAATCCTGTACCACTGGGATTCCCTTGATACATCATGATAGTTAGTTAAGTGAAACATTATCCTCTAATCTTGAAAAGAGAGCAAGGTAATGTTCACTTACACAACTATCATGATTTTGAACGATTTTAGAAACCCCCCCCCCCATCCCCCCCCCCCGTTTTTAAACAAATTGTTTTCCCCAACAAAAAATTTTAATTTTTGAAAGGGGTTTGGGTGCGCGAACCGGGGGCGGGGGTGTTTCAATTTTTTAATTTTTTTTCAAATTTCCCCGATTATTAGTTTTTTACATTTTAAATTTTTGGATACAACCTGTTTAAAAGGCCCCAATTTTCCAAGGTTTCCCCATTTTTTTTTGGGGGTTTTGGAGGGGGATTTTTAAAAAAATTTGAAAAGGCCGGTTTTTCGCCCAAATCAAATAAAACCCCCCATTTGGTTTTTCTTTTAAATTTAAAAGACGGGGAAACTTTTTGGGGCAAAATGAGGCAATTAAAATTAAAATTTTAATTTCGGGGGTCAAAGTAAAAAAATAGGGGGCCCGGGGAAAATAGTGGTTTATTTAGTAATGGGAAAAAAGTAAAATTTAAAAAAACAAAATCTTGGTCTTAAAACTACCCCTCATTTTTTTTTCGGCCCGGATGCTCGAGGGAGCCCGGTTTATCGGGTAAAAAATTTGGGTTTGCCTGGGGACGCGCCCGACATGGGACCCGAACACTGAGAGTTTAAAATTTTCACAAAAAGAGGCGGAAAAGTTCATTAAAACTATTAGAATTTTTAAGAAACATTGGAAACCCCTGAAATTAGGGAGAGGGTTTTTGTTTTTACGCCTGGGGCCCCCAAATTAAATGACGGGCTTAATACTTAAAAAATTCGGTTTTTCTTGCTTGTTTTCAAAATTTTTTAAATTTGTAAAACCCAATAATGGCCGAAAAAGGTTTTTGTTTTTTGTTTCTCGCTCCCCCTTTTTTTCGGGGGATAGGCCCCCCCCCTTTGAAGTTTTACGCTGCTCTAATTATAAAAATTACTCAACTTTTATAATCGGTTTGGGGAAAAGTCACTGGGAAATTTATAACCCCAATTTTGAAAAAAACCGACCCGGGGCTGTTAATTGTGGGAGGGGATGCGGGGGAGGTAGGAAAAACTTTTCGCCAGTTTCCCCCGAATTAGTTTCTTTTTTTAAAAAACCTGGTTAATACTTTTAATTCAGGTTTTTTTGGGTTTTAGACTTTTTCGGTTACCCCAAAAATTTGATTTTGGTTAAAAGGCGGCCCCAAAAAGGGAAAAAAATTTTTCCCATTTTGTTGAAAGGGGTGGGGGTATTTAAAATTCAGTTCAAAGGTAAAAAACTTTGAATTTTTTGGGAACTTAAAAAACCCATAATTACGGGAAAATTTTTTTCCGGGGCCCCCCTGAAAAAAGCCGGAAAGGGGTTTTATTTGACTTTTTAAAAAAAAAGGTAAATTTTATGTAGGGCGCTTGAATGTCTATTTTAAAATATACCAGCAATTAACCCTCTGCCACTTAACTTTGGCCTTCGGACTGATCAAATTAATTACCTCAAGTTTACGAAGACGGACGCTACGAAGACACAAACGGAACACGAGTACCAGCCGCATCAACGAATGTGTGGGCAAACAATTATTACCACCAACACCTTATAATAGCAGCACTTTGCCCAAACCTTCAAAAAGCAAAGCAATTTCCAAGTCCAGAACGACGTGGTATATTAGCTCTGAGTCGGACAACGATGTAACTGACACAGACAGTGACAAGGAGACTTTGACTCCTAAGACACGGAAAAGACTATTAGAAACTCCGTTTGATCTTTTGTCACCGAAAAGTCGGCGGAAAATATTTGATTTTAAATTATGTACAAAAAGGTGGAAAAATGACACTCCATGATCAGCAAACAGCACCACAACAACTCTTGACGGACCAGAAATGTTATGGCCTGTAAATCTAACACCGGTTCCTTCACAGCCCGTTGGAGGTGCGTTCTCCCGATATTACCAACCCGGCGCTACTACAAGAGTTGGCTCGACTGAATGAGCACGACGAGATGAAAGCACTAGACGAGCTCTCGGTTCACAGCACTCTGGTCCTCTTCGATCCAGGCAACAACAAGATGCACAAAAGGAGAGCTAGTGGTGGCAAACACAGTAAGGTTGCACTGCCGGAAGTGCCGTTTGGACGGAGACAATTTTCTAAGAAAAAGAAAATCCGGCCCGTTTGGAAGAGTGTCTTTAACAAGAACAAGAGTCCAAAACATGATCCGGCTCCCAAGACGATGGGTCTCATTAACTTTTTCAAAAATTTAGGAAGCTCAAAGAGCAGCCATAACGATTCGCAGCAGAGCGGTAAATCCAAGATCTCGAAGGGCTACAGTTCGGAGGACAAAGAATCAGGTCACGTGACGAGATTTGCACCTCCCCCTGCCTCCCCGAAGCACAAGAAACACTCCACGAAAAACCCACCTAAACCGGAGATCCTGTTACCCAGCTATCAAGAGGCCCAGTCCCAGTACAACGCTGAAATATCTTCTCCAAAGTTCGATCTAACCCCCACTAACTCTGACCATGAACCCTTCTTCCAGCACCTGTCAGGTGGTGCTTGCAGCTGTGGTCAATGCCGGGAGTGCATGTTCAGACTTGGAGATGTTCCCCTTCCTGGGCGTCCTCATGCCTTGGTTGCCAGAAACGAAAGTTACCGTGCCATGAGACCCCTCCCTAGAACTCAATCTGTTCCGGTGGAGTATGATGCGAATGTCAGTGTTGTTTCTGACAATTCAAACTCTAGTTCCAATGGTGGGGATTCCAATAAAAATCGGTCAAGATCGTTTAGAGACAAACTTGGTTTTTTACCTGACAAGGTGAAATTTCCAAAATCTTAGCCTGCCCTTATTGTGTATATGGCGTTTTGTACAATAATTAACCAGGGGTGTGTTAAGTTTACTTACTAGGTGACTTTATTCTGAAGTCTGATGATTTATTTAATTTTATTTGAAACATTCGATAGGACGATGAGCATTATTCCTGAAAATGAGCACGAATTTTATACTGTTTTGTTACGTATTATCATTACCATTTCTGACCCAAATAAGTAAATTGTTGTAATATAATTGTAAAGAATTGCTTATATCTTTGAATGCTGAGTGCCCAAAAAAAGTGCATCGATTTTGAAATGTTTCTTCCGCACAACAGATCTAAACTGGAAATCAACCTATAATGTGCTATGTTACGCCTGACGTGTATTTTGACACCATTACTACCCATTTACTGTTTATCATTAATTATGGTAATATGTATATTGTTTATATTTATTTTGATATGATGTCCATTTTTGTTCCAATATTTCATGTTCCACTGCAACGATTCATTGGTTTTATTTGTATTTGTGTGTGTTCTGATGTATCGATTAATGTTATTTAGACAAACAAAGTGAATATCAGAAATCAGAAAACTTGCCAACAATGTTTAAAGTATTTAAAGTATTTAATATGCTTTGTGATATTGCAATTGAGTAATCCATCCTAACCATGCAGTGCCTTCGCCCTATGGTGGAAACGTTATGTTCATGTTCGGGATTTTGGCAACCGGTACCTCAATTTGTTTTCATACCATCATCAATTAACTGACTAATTGGTCTCTGTGCAAAAATTTCAGCCAATCTGTCAAATTTGTGTTTAGAAATTGTCATATTTGAAAATGGGACAGACTTTTGAAAATATGAATTTTCGTTTTGTTAAACTTTCTGCAGTGACCTTCCTCCGACAGAAATCAAACTTCCAGCACCTCAATCTTATCATTTGGCACCTATAGTTGACTGACTAACTGTTTGCAGGTGAGAAATTCAGTCAAAACTGTAAAATTTCAGTCCTGGAAATTTCATCTTCAAAAACTGAAAATGGGACAGAATTTGGGACAATATGATTTTTCAATTTTCTTCGGGATTTTGACTTACAGTACCTGGTACCTCAATTTGGTTTCATACCATCATCAATTAACTGATTAATTGGTCTCTGTGCAAAAATTTCATCAAATCTGTCAAATTTGTGTTCAGAAATTGTCGTATTTGAAAATGGGACAGACTTTTGAAAACATGAATTTTCGTTTTGTTAAACTTTCTGCAGTGACCTACCTCCAACAGAAATCAAACTTCCAGCACCTCAATCCTGTCATATGGCATCTATAGTTGACTGACTAAATGGTTGCAGGTCAGAAATTCAGTCAAAACTGTAAAATTTCGGTCCTGGCAATTTCATCTTCAAAAACTGAAAATGGGACAGAATTTGGGACAATATGATTTTTCAATTTTCTTTGGGATTTTGACTTCCAGTACCTCAATTTGGTTTCATACCATCATCAATTAACTGACTAATTGGTCTCTGTGCAAATATTTCATCCTATCTGTCAAATTTGTGTTCAGAAATGTTCATATTTGAAAATGGGACAGACTTTTGAAAATATGAATTTTCGTTTTGTTAAACTTTCTGCAGTGAGCTTCCTCCGACAGAAATCAAACTTCCAGCACCTCAATCTTATCATTTGGCATCTATAATTGACTGACTAACTGGTTGCAGGTGAAAAATTCAGTCAAAACTGTAAAATTTCGGTCCTGGAAATTTCATCTTCAAAAACTGAAAATGGGACAGAATTTGGGACAATATGATTTTTCAATTTTCTTTGGGATTTTGACTTCCAGTACCTCAATTTGGTTTCATACCATCATTAATTAACTGATTAATTGGTCTCTGTGCAAAAATTTCATCCAATCTGTCAAATTCGTGTTCAGAAATGTTCATATTTGAAAATGGGACAGAATTTTGAAAATATGAATTTTCGTTTTGTTAAACATTCTGCAGTGACCTTCCTCCGACAGAAATCAAACTTCCAGCACCTCAATCTTATCATCTGGCATCTATAGTTGACTGACTAAATGGTTGCAGGTGAGAAATTCAGTCAAAACTGTAAAATTTCAGACCTGGCAATTTCATCTTCAAAAACTGAAAATGGGACAGAATTTGGGACAATATGATTTTTCAATTTTCTTTGGGATTTTGACTTCCAGTACCTCAATTTGGTTTCATACCATCATCAATTAACTGACTAATTGGACTCTGTGCAAAAATTTCAATTAATCTGTCAAATTTGTGTTCAGAAATTGTCATATTTGAAAATGGGACAGACTTTTGAAAACATGAATTTTCGTTTTGTTAAACTTTCTGCAGTGACCTTCCTCCAACAGAAATCAAACTTTCAGCAACTCAATCCTGCCATATGGCATCTATAGTTGACTGACTAATTGGTTGCAGGTGAGAAATTCAGTCAATACTGTAAAATTTCATCTTCAAAAACTGAAAATGGGACAGAATTTGGGACAATATGATTTTTCAATTTTCTTTGGGATTTTGACTTCCAGTACCTCAATTTGGTTTCATACCATCATCAATTAACTGACTAATTGGACTCTGTGCAAAAATTTCATCCTATCTGTCAAATTTGTGTTCAAAAATGTTCATATTTGAAAATGGGACAGAATTTTGAAAACATGAATTTTCGTTTTGTTAAGCTTTCTGCAGTGAGCTTCCTCCGACAGAAATCAAACTTCCAGCACCTCAATCTTATCATCTGGAATCTATAGTTGACTGACTAAATGGTTGCAGGTGAGAAATTCAGTCAAAACTGTAAAATTTCAGACCTGGAAATTTCATCTTCAAAAACTGAAAATGGGACAGAATTTGGGACAATATGATTTTTCAATTTTCTTTGGGAATGTGACTACCAGTACCTCAATTTGGTTTCATACCATCATCAATTAACTGACTAATTGGTCTCTGTGCAAAAATTTCATCCAATCTGTCAAATTTGTGTTCAGAAATTGTCATATTTGAAAATGGGACAGACTTTTGAAAATATGAATTTTCGTTTTGTTAAACTTTCTGCAGTGAGCTTCCTCCGACAGAAATCAAACTTCCAGCACCTCAATCTTATCATTTGGCATCTATAGTTGACTGACTAATTGGTTGCAGATGAGAAATTCAGTCAAAACTGTAAAATTTCGGTCCTGGAAATTTCATCTTCAAAAACTGAAAATGGGACAGAATTTGGGACAATATGATTTTTCAATTTTCTTCGGGACTTTGACTTCCAGTACCTCAATTTGGTTTCATACCATCATTAATTAACTGATTAATTGGTCTCTGTGCAAAAATTTCATCCAATCTGTCAAATTCGTGTTCAGAAATGTTCATATTTGAAAATGGGACAGAATTTTGAAAATATGAATTTTCGTTTTGTTAAACATTCTGCAGTGACCTTCCTCCAACAGAAATCAAACTTTCAGCAACTCAATCCTGCCATATGGCATCTATAGTTGACTGACTAATTGGTTGCAGGTGAGAAATTCAGTCAATACTGTAAAATTTCATCTTCAAAAACTGAAAATGGGACAGAATTTGGGACAATATGATTTTTCAATTTTCTTTGGGATTTTGACTTCCAGTACCTCAATTTGGTTTCATACCATCATCAATTAACTGACTAATTGGACTCTGTGCAAAAATTTCATCCTATCTGTCAAATTTGTGTTCAAAAATGTTCATATTTGAAAATGGGACAGAATTTTGAAAACATGAATTTTCGTTTTGTTAAGCTTTCTGCAGTGAGCTTCCTCCGACAGAAATCAAACTTCCAGCACCTCAATCTTATCATCTGGAATCTATAGTTGACTGACTAAATGGTTGCAGGTGAGAAATTCAGTCAAAACTGTAAAATTTCAGACCTGGAAATTTCATCTTCAAAAACTGAAAATGGGACAGAATTTGGGACAATATGATTTTTCAATTTTCTTTGGGATTGTGACTACCAGTACCTCAATTTGGTTTCATACCATCATCAATTAACTGACTAATTGGTCTCTGTGCAAAAATTTCATCCAATCTGTCAAATTTGTGTTCAGAAATTGTCATATTTGAAAATGGGACAGACTTTTGAAAATATGAATTTTCGTTTTGTTAAACTTTCTGCAGTGAGCTTCCTCCGACAGAAATC